TCATTTTTTAATTTACTTAACTTTTAGTACCGCAATCATACTTTTCTAACGAAATTATTGAATTTTTATAACTGAATAATAAATTATAATCGAGTCAAGGATAATAACTATATAGTAAATAGCATAATGAACTCTAACTTACTTTTATATGCGAAACTAATGAATATCCATTGATAACAGCGGCTACATTAGTAAGTATTCAGAAAAATACTCTTCTGTGAGTCAATAGACTAACAAGTTACACCTACCGCATTAACAGAAGTGTTTGTCGCGCCGGGGCTCTTCACAACGGACACAATACAGGCACCGCAGCCGGCCTCGCGGCACATGTACTTGGTGCCCGGCAGACGCAACGTGCCCCTGATGTAGTCCAGCAGGGTCGTGTCCGAGCTCACCTCGGTACCCACTGCAACAAACCTTTAATCACTCACTGTAATGTTCTATTGCACTATTTATTACACGCAATATTTGTGCGTGTGCTTTCCTTCACCTTCACCCACAGTTGCCCATCTGGCACACATTTTCGATTCATTCAGTTTGAATTAAATTAATTGAATTTTGATTGTAGATGTGATCATCAGCATAGTCCTTGCCAATAATGGTTTAAAAATGTATTTAAATGCATATGACTAATTAAGTCACGAATTTATTGCAAAAAACGTAAACAGGAAAACATAAAAATTTAAGAATAATCCTTTCTCGTGCACCATTAAGGTATCGTTTCAAAAATCTTGCAGAACAGGATCCCGTATGACCTAGGTTGCAGTGAAAGTGCATGACTTGTAATTTAAAAAAACAGTTTTTAAAACATGGCAGGCCAATGATAATAATGTACATATTTGAACGTGTGTACATTCACTTTGCTGTACAGAATAAACTAGAGTAAGACGATCTTAGAAGTTCATTGCTCTTTACTTTATTGCTTCAGTCGACGGATTAAATGATAAAAATATTAACAAATGTTCAAATGTAAGAAAAAGCTTCATCAAACCTAATGAACGTTTTTATTTTATTCTCAAAAGTTTTTAGCTTCTAAATCTTGTCCGGCTTCCTCAGAAAAGCATACTGAAATAACATTAGATCTGTTTAGTGGTTTAGACACGCATTACTAAGATTATAGAAGATATTATACCCCGAATGTTTAATTTTACAGTTTACTAACGTTATAAAAAGTTTGAATGGATGGACGGATGGATGGATGTTTGTTACAAGGTATCTCCTGAACGACACAACGGATCTTGATATAGTTTAACACAAATTTAGAATATAGTGTGGAACATAGGCTATTTGAGCTTTTTTATTACTGCACGGACAGAGTCGCGGGCGACAGCTAGTATGGTTACAATTTGCAATGTTTTAATTATATCCAATTTTTTTAGATATTGATAGGCTTTCGCATTAGTACTATTTAAAGATTTTAATCTCTGAATTAAAAACTTAAACAAATAAATCTTATAAAAACGCACCCGAGCACTCGACTCCGTTGACTTTGAACCTGATGCGATCCATGACCAGCTGCGACGCGCGCTGCCCGCCGACTGATCACCACGGTCACACAGCTCACCACTTCGCCACCACACAGACCATATGTATCCTACTAAACTTTTAACTTCATGCAACTAGCCCTTCAATGTCAATATCATTAAAGGTTGATTTCCTTTGATAACAATGATATTTTCGTGATAAGTACAGTTAAGCCCTTCGTACACAAGGCAATGTAGATTTTCGAAAGCTGGTGATTTTAGTTGATAAACAACTTACGTATTATAATGTGGCACAGTCCACAGTACTCATCGCAGACATTTCGATCTGTCATCTCCAAAGACAGTCGCTCGCAACCTGTTTGTCAAGATTATCGTGAGAAAAGTCGTCGCTATGCCTATGTATATATGTAAGTACTGACCGAATAGACGACTCTCTTTGACGGTTTAACGTTGTGGCTACGAAGAACGCACTACGCGATTCTCGCGAACAACCATACAATATCAGTTTCAACGATTGATGCCTTGTATACGTAGGATTACATCCCGGAAATTTGCTTCGATTAGTAATCCCCTTATATTATTGGATAGCAATACTTCTGCCAAACAGTTCAGATTTGTTTTGCAATTTGCGTCGATTCAAGGAGGAATCCTATGTCAAGTACCTCTTCTGCCTGTTAATTAACGAGAGAAGTGTGTTAGGACTGCGCCAAAAGGACTGCGTCGTCTTTGTCCACCCCTCTTGGTTACGGGCGTGAGTTATGTTGTTTGTTACAAAGAGAGAGTGTAAGGTTAAGTAATATCATTTGCTGTATTAACAAAATAATTATACTTACATAAATCAGTGAACCAACACTGAGAATAATGAGCGTATTTAAAACAGGTTTCTATTAATTTCGTCAGATTTAGCTTCGTATGTTACAGCAGTTTTTTGTTTTATTAGTTCATGCGTGCGCCATCAAATTTATAACCCACTAGATGTCGATCGCGGCTCTGTCTGCGCGGTATCAAATAAACTTAATAAGTAGTCTATGTGCTCTTCCAGACTATGCTAAATTTCAGCGAAATCAATTACAGTCTTTCTGAAGATACCTTGTAACAAACATCCATCCAAACATTCGCATTTATAATATTAGTAAGATTATTGTCAATGAGCTAAACAGATATTCATAATTGTATTTTGTTTACAAAGCTAAAAATACTATTTTGGTATCAGAATCAGGGGTCAGCAGGTCCCGGCCCGCACGCACATTCAGTTTGTGAAGGCATAATCGGACTTTATTGAATGTAAAAATATGTATGATAAACAATTTATGATATAACTTAATCTTATACATGGTTCAACTCACACAAATTCAATTTTGTTATCAAATTATACTTATCTCGTACGTTTACGTAATGTGCGCTATTATACATATATATAATTAAGACTTATTATATTACGATATACAAATTTGTAATAGACTCGCATTTCCTCCACATTATTCTACAAAATAACGATCATTTGTTAAGGGCATGTTTCCACTAGCGTTACTAACGGGGCCACTCTAGTCGCACGCATATTTCTAAAAGCGAAGTATATCATGTCTATAAATATGCGAACGATTTCCATTCTACTAGCGTGGCGTAGTCGCAGCTAATCGCTTAGTGGATAAGCAGTTTCAGTGTCGGCCCCATGCGTCAAATTATACCATGACGGCACGCTTGGCGGATCAACACTGGGAGGAAGACGTAAAAAAGCTTTGTTTTAAATTCTTCTGTTGTTACGACATTGCGTTCAAATAAACGAAGGTTTTTAATACATTTTTACTTAGAGTAACATTCACTTACCATGCTACTCAATTTGTTGTGACAATGTGAACGCTAAGCGTTAGGGCTGCCTCTTTATTTTTCTTTGTTGTATATATTTTTGCTTTTTATGGAGTCATTTAAATTAATGAAAGTTATATTCGTAATGAATAAAGAAAGTTATTCACATTTCGTAGTTTTCGTAGAGAAGTAAAAGGATTAAAACAATGTTATGTATAAGTTTGGGTAGCGGATGTATCTATCAAAATGGTTGATCGCAAGTAATCGCAACTAACTCGCCAGTTAAGTGCATACTCTTGCCAACTTCCATAAAAATGGATTTCTCGAAATTGATAGAACATCAGCACTACTTGCTGTGTTACAGTGAAACTAACAAGATAACTATCATTTAACAAATGCCGTTCCTCTACCCGTCACTTCACCGTTATAGTCATGTATTTAACCGACAGATAAAACTCGGTGCTAATTATATATACAGCAAAGTTTCTATTTCATTTACACAATATTACTGCAAAGAGTTGGAAACAATTTGTATTGCTTAAAAACATAACGCCCTCAATCATTTTTATTCAATTTTAATTGGCTTATCTAACACCTACGAAAAATATATTTCCTGCACTTCTCAATGATTAGATCCAAACAATTATACTATTAACTATTGTATTATTAATCGTAATTGTGCACTATTAAATATATACTAGCGGTCGCCGTTGGTCGAAATCCGTCCCTAATTCATAAACATTACTGTTTATTTTTGATTAATAATCAGATGCACAAATACGTTCATCCGTTGGCGCAATTGCATTAAAACGAGGTACAAAGTATTCGTTTCCCATATTGATGAAATGATTATTAAAAATTGCATCATTTAATGATATTAGCCGTCTTAAGGATAATATTATCGTATTTGTGGAATTACTCATATTTCCGCTGCGAGTACAATGATGTGCAACATGCACATACGTCATTGTTAAACTTGCTTCATATCACACCAACACAAGCTATCTGTAAAATGCAACTCCCACTTTCATGAACATAAACCTTCATTTTAATGGCGAAAATGAATGTCAGGTTCTTTAATATTATTTAAAACTTCATATTATCAGAGGAACTTTAAAAAAGCTGACGCTTATTGTCTTGAAGGGATATGCGACAGAGTCATAAGTGGTATTAGTTGGTGAATGCTTTAATATAGGATCAGGAATATTCTCAGAACATCAGGAATATTGCTCAGATAAAATAAACTTAAAAGAAGTCAAAAGTCATGTTCCTTTGACGTGTGGTCAAAAGACAAAATAGCGAATCTTACTTGGTTATCATGCAAGTTTTGAGCAAAGCAAAAAAATTGTTTGTTCTTAAATCTCAGTTGATCACAAAAAGTATGTTATCGTGAATAGAAGCATAACTTTAATTGGCAACGACCAACGGTATATATGATATTGAATTGTCTACAAAGAAAAATTTCTTATGACTTGCATTTATTTGGTTTTGTGAAACAACACTCTGATAACATGGCAGATAAAATATTTCGTTGCAGCTAGTGGTTCTGGCTACAATTACAAGTGTACGAGATAACATCTAAACGGATCTCGCAATACGCTAAACACTGCTTATAAAAACAGCTATGTTGAGGTCGCAATGACCCCATGAAATGAAGTAATTTATTAATAAGTAGGAGAGCAAAATTAACACAAATAATAATCAAAAATCTCTAATGAAATGTAAAACGTGTATTGCTTAGTTTAATACATTTAATAACAATGTTGTCGCGGTAACAAATATATTTTGTTTGTTTATTTCATCAACGTAGGATTTATAGTTCCAATGGTCACTTTCTTTTTCATAGGATAATCAACTGTAACACTCTCTATTTTTCTTGCAACTTCTTCAATTTCCTTCATTTGTCTCTCTTTGTCTTCTGGTTGTTGTCTTCTGAATCTATCTTCAGGTTGCGAGTACACAATTTTTGGTACTTTCTTCTTTTCCTCGGCAGCGGCATTTTGAAAATATTGCCTACAATTGTGAAGTATTGGTTCAGAGAGTTGTCGCGTTTTGGGGAAGGTTTTAAGACTATCTTCATACTTTTTCCTACACGCGGGGCACATGACAAGTGCGTTGTATGACCGCTTATTTTTATTGAACACATTTTTCAACTCTATTCCGTATAAACTTTCAAGACCTAGGTTCTGCCCATCCACCGTCACCGATTCTCTAAAATTACTAACTTTCGATCGCTTCACAGTTTTTTTCTTGCCATCTTTTTTCGGCGTCATCGAGGTGGTGGTCTTATTACGGAAAAAAAATGGGAACTTGAAATTTTTCAACACCCTGAAATGAAAAAACACTTTGGATAATAAAATATTTTTAATACATAAAAATATATAAAAACATTTAAAAAGTTACCCTTTCTTTTCCGGATGATGGATCGCGGTGTAATCTATAACATTATTGTGATAATTGTTTTTGTGTTGATAGTCTTGATTACTCGCCGAGTTGTCTTTCTTACATTCGGCCAGAGATGCGAAGTCGTAATCGAATTCCTTTTGATTGGCCAGCTCGTCTGACGCCTTCACAGCCTCCGTCACTTTGGCTACGTCGCTGTCCTCTATGTTAAGATAGTCCGTCCAACTATCACGTCTGTCGTCACCTGAGTTTTGATCCATAAGGTTTTTAAGATTTTCATAATCCATATAATCATTTGAACTAAATTTTCTGTAGCTGAAACGTAATACAAAATTACAACAAGATATGACATGTTTGCTTTTCAAATTAAATCTCCTTGGCCAACTTTAAACTTATTTTTAGAAGATCTTCAAAACAACCAGATAGTCGTACTTCGTATTTGTATTACATACAGAAATACAATACACAGTCGAGTCGGCACACGGGTAAAGAATAACTAAATATTTTGATTATATTTCGTCATAATAATTGTCTACGCATTGCAAAATATTTAGATACACATAACCCTGTTCCTAGTTCTGAATATTTAGCACAGCCATTGTCCACTTTATGGTCTAAGGTCATTATTATAATGGTTATTTTTCCATACTCTTTCCGCTTTCCGTCGCCGTACTGCAGCTTGTGCAGCTTCTTGTTGGCGGAGTTCTGTATGAAACTGGCCACGTCGAACTGCGCCACCGGCTCGTTGTTGTCCAAAGGCAACTCGTAGCGTTTCTTGTACAAGTTTCTCTTTTGCGTTTTTAACTTTTTATAATGGCTCACGATGTCGTGTCTATGATTACCCTTTAGTCTAAAATTCCTTGATTCATTATTTATATAATCATAACAAAACGATAAGTGAACATAAAATAAGAAACTTAGTAAAAAATATCGTAACATCTTTAGCGTGACATGATCTGTCAAGTCGTAATCAAATGTTGTTTTAAAACATTACATTTATCAACATACAAATGAGTTCCTTATGCATAGATATAATTTCTTTGGTCGAAAACCTCCATAGTCCTGTTCATAACTATACTCTATGATCGGATGTATTATAGTTAACTGATAGAGCAATTAGACCGACTGACTTTATTCCTACTTTAAACCCAGGAAAACAAGAATCGAATAAAACCACATTAGTCAAAATTGATTTAGTCGTTTAGGGTACAGGCGGCCAGAATGTAACGCTACTTTTGAGTCGGATGTCGAATGTACGGATACTAAGATATACTATGAATATACGTCATAATGTTGAAGGGACGTTCCCGTGACCGCAAGGTACACTTCACCGGAGCGGACCCTTGCGTGCCGCCTGCGTAGCAGATCAGATCTGCCTAATGGTGTGGTCACCGTAAATCTGTTTAATTTATGGTAACCATTTATCGGTACTTGCTAAGCTGACCATGATATACCATTTTATGAGATTGTATTATTTTATATAACCCCGCTGAAATCGGACCTACTTTCTTTCGTTCTTTTTGACTTTCACCTAAAAGGTTCTAGTTTGTAAGGGAATCTTGTTCCAATCACAGTTAACTATTCTATAATTTCAACGTTTGTCTTACGACAAGAGCTGCCAGTGTCCAGAAATGTATTCAAGTTGTTGTCGTCGTAGCTCCGCCTGCTCTATGTAAACGCTAAGTTATGCGAAAAGGGCTCCACTAGCTGGTAGTTTGGAAAGGATCACGCTTTACATTACCTTACTGTAATGTTATAAAGGACGAAGGAACATTTAATAGAATTATTATATAAATTTTATAAAAACTATTGAATGAGTATAATTATACGTCGAGATCAGTTTAAAGGTGTTTCTGCTGTATTTAATATAATACCCTCTCATAAATTAAACTCGATTAAAGCAATAAACCATCAATGTGGTGTAACACTATCAATAATAAATCAAGCCTATTGAAATATAATTCCTTAAAATATGTTTCTTCCGTGTGCAAAATGTTGTATCGCGTCGAAGTCGCATAAATCCCACATATCGGTAGCTCGAGTAAATCCTTTAAGCCTATCGGATCAAATATGTTACCTGTTGAGTTAGGATATTATCCCCGAAAATATTGTGAAAATACAAGGCCGTGTAAAGTGAAAACACGACATGAATTATTTATATGTTGCTTGAAGATGTCTGACGTAAACCTGCCTTTTGTTAGGAAAATCTATCACATATTTCTCTTACTTTTACATATAAAATAACAAAAATAAACATTCAAGTTGTATTAAATCCAAAAATGTTATCTGTATATACACAAGAATTTACTTAATAAATTCGCTGTAAATTTATATTTAAGGTTAAATAATATATTAATATTCTGCTTAAATTTTCCTTCGTCTACATCGAATACTTTAGGAAAAGATCACTTGTGGAATTCGTAAGGCACGTGGAAAGGCTAAGGGCTAGTTGAATGCCGACGTCGAGCCTTCCTTTAAGCGGCGAACGACATTGAAGCGGCGTTCCTGAAAATCCTAAAATATACTGTAATCAAATTATTAAAATAACCTTTGTCTACACAGTTTACAATATTTAAGAGACAAATAAACTTGCTTATATTAACTTAATTAGTAATTTGACTCTGACCGGGAATCGAATACAAAATTAGCACAACTTAATTAAACACTGTGGAAACCCATGTTGATATCTCTTTTTTGGCAATACAACGACAGGGACGATAATATAATATATTAGAATGAATGTTTTTCATCGGAAACCCACGTTAACGTTTAATGTCCAACGTACATTAATTTTAATTAGACTATAGCTATACTAGCGAGCCCACCTGGCTTGCCTCCAATAATCTCAGACAGAATTCTATTTTAAACAAAATAGTTTATATGTATGCGATCTCTTAACCACTGAGATTGTACCGTGATGAATATAATTACTTGTTATCTTAAATAGAAGGTGGATAGAGGGCGAAATAAGTGAGATAGCGCGGAGAGGCGCGTTCTGAGCCTCGCCGCAACCCATTAAGGAATTTTGGTGCGGTCGCGCCGAAAGGCCCACAGACCTTACTTAATAGAGATATCTAGTGCCGACTTTACTTAATCTTAAATAACATTAGTGCAGAATTTAAATTGAACAGTCCTTTCGTCTTATACTGTCACAAATAACGCACCAAAGGTACAACAGTCTTATCTGATGAAAAGAGCAACTAATGTTTCATCATTTTATTAATTTCATTTTTATTTAATGTAAGAAGACGACTTAACATCTGGTATCGGGTTCTTCTTCTTCTTCTAATGCCTCTCCATTACTGGAGGTTGGCAGTCAGCTCAGCGAACCCATCCCTGTCTTGTGCCAAGCGAAAAAGTTGTTCAACGCTCAATTCAAGTTGGTATCGGGTTATTTACTGTTAATAGTAAAAAACAAAATAAAGAAAATTTACAAGTATTTAAGTATTTTACACAATTCTTAAGCATTTCATGTCAATGGCCGCATCTTTTCTGCACTATGGTTTAGCAAATAAAAAAAGTTACCGCTCGCTTACTGAGGGCGATAAAAGATAAAATATTCTATTCAGCGCATCTAGCGACGTAAAATTAACTTGCAAGATATTAATCTAATTTTACGTGGACCGTTTATTTATTCTATTAACTTTCAACTTTCTACTAACTCTACCTTATTACAAGTTTTTACATATTTAAATGAAAAATATTGCTTAGCGTTAAAAATACTGTTCGTCAGATATAAACTAAGATATCATAATGTTACACTGGGAACAAGAAACTGTTAACACCAAAAGTAAAATATCATAGCGTCAGTGTAGAAATAATTGTAAAAATAATTCAACGATTAACAACTTCAATAGGCGAAGGGAAATCTTACGACCCTGAACTAAATAAATAATAATTTATACTATTTTTCAAAAGCATCTGTACAAATATGAGCGAAGAGCACAAATATGTCACATAGATGATAGTAATTCGTGCACGAAATGAAGCCAGCTTTACATCGAACATCCGAGGCGACGCCAGCGCCACACCGCGGCGGCTCGCCAATTACCACGAAAAATACACTTTTATAAATCTCACTTGACGTCAAACTATTTTTACAAAATTATATTTGTATTGTTTATTTTAATATATTTTTTAAATAACGAACTTTTATATTTTATAGATTTATAATTTATATGAATAAATTCGTTTTAAATATTTATGCAATGAATTATGAATAAAATAAAATGGTGACATAAAGAATGTGCCCCAATTTCACAAAAGTACTGAATTACAAGTAATTTAGAGCTTATTGGGCTTTAAATTATCAAAGTGAATGTCATAGATCATTTACTTGACGACCTAATAACTTGGACTACGAAGTTCGTTCTTTAATATTATGTTATTAGTAACTTATCATTGTGTTTCGCAGTAATTTGGCAGGAAATGTTAAACTAAATATTCCGTGAGTGAAAATGAAATGAAGAAGCTATTTAATTTATAGGAAACAGAAACATTTAAATGCCATTCGATCATAAAATTTAGTAAAAGACAAACAAGCGCCCGTATAATTTGCGAGCAATAGTGCAAAAGTGTGTTTATTTGCAATCGTTTTGCAACAGGCGCTATCGCCCGCACTGGAACATTAACATTGTATCGCATTCGTTTTGCAAAACGCTCGAGAATATTGTTCTCTCTTTGTGTGATCATAATTTGAATTTATACTTTTTCCTCTATATACCCACATTTTTTAAAGCATCAAAAAAAAACTTGTAATTTTTACTATTTCAAATTGCTTTGTCTGATAAATTTAATAGAAAACATAAAACACCTCTTTTTTACTTACATTTATTTTTATATATAACAACTTACGACTGACAGGTTGTTAAAAGTTTCTACCTAAAACTAGGTTATAACTGAGAGGTGAATGATTAAAACGCAATATGTCAGCGGTGCGTAAGGACTCGTCGAGGCAGCTGTGAGAGGACTCGGTAAGGCAACGACGCGGGCTAACGACGGGAACGGCTGCTGGGACCTCTGGCGCGCCCTAATTGCTGACGGTGGAATTTAATGAGCGACAGAGATTATTTCAACGTGTAGTTGCCAAAGACGATTGCAAGCTCAGGTCAGTTAATATCAATAATGTAAATCATACTAACTAATCTTCATAGACATGAGGGAATTGTTTTGAATAATATTCAACATAAACAGAAAATATAGTAATTAGGTGTCCTGTATAAAAGTAGGTAATTGAATTCACAGCCGCACTGAATTTAAATGATAAGAGTGAACCTCTGTCAGCAGTTAAAGATGTCGCATGTCATACAAATAGAGGTATTAAAGTCATAATTCATTATTTCGACATCAGTATACTTTTATAAAACGATTTCCTTTTAACGGATTATTTATTAAAATAGTTGGAGAACGAGCAATGAAGTGAAAAGACTGCAATTGTAGTGGTCGCGCAAGTTGCCTCGTAAATCCGTCGGAGGGCGGGCTGGACGACTTTATGGTTACAGTTTGATAGATTTCTTTCTTTTACATTACTTTTGGTTTCCCAAAGTATTGTTACTTCTAAAACATGTTACATATCATTTTTGTCATTCACCAAGTATGTTTCTTATTATGTTTCGAAACAATGATATAATTTCCTAAGGTTGCCAAAATAATGACATTCTATTGTTTATTTAGCTATTGTCTCTTGAGAACGGAAGTCAAATTAACGCCGCGGTAATCATGCAATTGACAAAGGATTGTTAATTCGTTATTACCGTATCTGTAATTCTTAGTTCTTCATTTCCTATTAATTCTTAGTTTGGTATAATAGTATATAGAAGATGAACAATATGTAGTTTCGAATTAAATATAACAGCATAACAGTGGAACAAAAACAAGCGAACTTTTTGGTAAAAATTGTATTTACAATTTACAATTACAAGTCGTAATTTCTAACAATTTTAATATTTAATAAAATCAAGAGACTACACAAAACTGTTTACGATGAAGTAATCTGGAGCCATCACGTTGATATCATTACAAACTAAACCTATATACTAAAAGTGCTTTAATAAAGTAACAAATAAATAATAATAAGTATGTTTTGAGATGACAATGAGACATTATGATAATAGTATTGAAAATAAATGTTGTACTTATAATGGAAGGAATTAGAAAAGTGCAAAGAAATGATGATAATGTTACGCTCATTCAAATTGTTGTTTGTGAAAATATGAAGTGATAAAATGCTGATGAGATTTGTTTGTATGTGATAGAGGAGATGATTGAAGATGATGTACTGCGGTGATTTCTCATAAGATATTAACATTAAGTACATAATAGTGTTTATATTTAAATACTTTCACATAATTTACAATAAAGTTATTTATATCGTGAATTTATTTACACTTTCATATGATAAGTTCTTAGAACCAATAATACCATATTTTTTACTACTACTTAAGATTAGGATTGAGCTGAGGGCCGCGTCCGCGAAATAATACCAGTACCACTCATCCTGATGAAGGGCCCCCGATGGGTTCGAAACTAGTTGGTGCCGTCACCGGACGAATATACGTGAGTGTTTAGTCGTTTTTATATATCAGCTTAGTATAATGTCTCACGAAAGTTTGAATTACTTAAGATTAGTTATACTATCATTGTTGGTTTTTATTGAAAATGGATTGTGCATATTTCCCGAAATATTGCACAGCTGGAAATGTGGGAGCGGCTGCTGCAGATTGACCTTTGTACCCTGAATTAGGGTTTGAGTTCACCTGTGGTTGGTACGACTGTGGCTGGTTTTGTCCCAATACTTGAGGTTGAATTTGAAGTTGAGGACCAGGTCTGAAGTACGAGAGATTCTCGTGTCCTCCCTGGGAAGGCGCTTGCTGAACGTTCTGCTGATATAACGGATGATGTACAACAGACTGAGCTTGATCTTGTGAGATTTTCGTGAAGCTCACTGGACCTTGAGGCTGCGTCTGATAATTCTGCAAAAAATATTTTAATTAACTTTATCCATATTGCAACCAATGCGCTTTACTTTTGATGTAGCAATATAAACTTTTAATCCTTTCGTGGACGCTTAGAAGAAATTAAAAAAATAATAAAGTAAAAAATGTATACCTGTGCCACAAACTGTTGTCTCTCAAGGGCGCTGCTCTGTGCAGGTTGACTGTACACTTTCTGTTGAGTGTCGTCCTGTCTGTATGTTACTGCTGGCTGGATGTACTGGACATTCTGGGCAGGTTGCTCCTGTACGTAAGGCTGTTGATACTGCTGCTGACCATCCGAGTAATACTGCTGAGGTGCCAAGTTATACTGGGAAGCGAGCAAACTATGTTGATTGTCAGAGTAAAATGCCTTAGGCGATTGCTGATACTGGAGCGCTTGAACAGCTGGTTGGTTCTCTAGCTGTTTATACTGCTGCGCTGAGAACTGAGCTGGTGATATTTGATTGTAACTTAACTGTGGGGCCTGAGATTGTATTGTTTGGGGCAACTGTTGGTATGTTTGTTGCAAAGGTTGTTGATACGTTTGTTGCAAAGGTTGTTGATATGCAGGTTGCTGTTGATACGCTTGTTGTAAGGGCTGTTGATTATATATTTGTTGGGTCTGGGCTAACACGTCCTGCTGTGAAATCTCTGGTTGTGTGGGTAGTTTTGAATTGTAGACTTGAGAGTTGTATTGTAAGTTGGGCTGCTGAAAATGCTCGCTGTAAGCCAGCTGTGATGGTACAGGGGCAGACACTTCATATGTTGTTGGTGTTCCAGTCTGTAAAACACATATATCTTAAAATTAAGGTTCAAATTAGGCTGATCGCGGAATCCTATCAAGTCTACTATAAAGTTTTGATATCTTTTATAAACATTTAATACATACGCGAGGCTGGTACACGGAGACGGGGGAGAAGAGCTGGCTGGCGATGGCGGCCTGGTATGAGGGTGCCTGCCCCGCCAGCAAGTCGGAGAACTTGGAGAACTGTGGCGCTGGCGTCGCGTACTCACGCTGCAGACATATTACGACATACAACAATTGTTCGTCACCTATCGCATTATCTTTGTATCGACACTAGTTGGAGATCAAAACATCACCAGACTGTTGTAAACAGATGTTATAATTTATTGTCTTTTAAATTATTTTCGTACCGCAATAGCAAACACTCCTCGTAAACTGTCATTTGTATTCTGTGCTTGTCATTGACAGATGACTTACAATTTTGCGCGCGCAAAAACACCATAAAATTTTGGAATTTTGCATTCCCTCGAATTATGCAAATCTATTGAAGTCAAAAACAATTTGGAAGTCCCATTGTAATTTACGGTTTAATGTTTATTATATTTTCAATTACAAAAGTTTGAAGTTGTCAGTTTGTGTAAGTTTGACTTAATACGGCGGATAAAAAAACAACAAAAGTTGACATCAGGTGTCCAAGAGACTTTTAAGTTAATTTGCCAATTTATTTACTTTTACTTAAGAAACCATTAACTTAGGACGTAACTCAGAAATCGTTAAAAACCAATTATAATGAATTGTATTGTACAATAACAAAAGAAAAAAAAGTAAAGGAGTGTTGCAAAGCGGAGCATGGACAATCTGATTTGCGGATGTCTGCGAGTGTTATGCAACAAGCAGCTGGTTCCGGTACCGTCTCTGAACGGATTTATATTTAATGTTATTTAACTGCACTTATGTAATAATCGTAACATTACAAATAACTGCAGAACCAAAAATAATTTTATAAATGATATCATTATTTTTGACCTTTTTAACCGACATCAAAACGGAGAAAGTTCTTGATACTATCTTAAAAAAACGATAAAAGAACAATACAGAAAAACGAGTTAAAGAAATACATTACTGATGTTTTTACTAAGACTTATTTACTAGCAGATAAGATGATAAAATTGTTATCATTGTAGGACAGATTTGTGATTTATAGACTTTAGGGCACATACAGACAGAAAACATTTCGACTGTGGATAAGCTATCGACCTCATGTTTTTATTAACAGTATATTGTCTGTACCGCACGTAGCGTGGGAAGTAGTCACAAGGTCGGTCATAGTTCTTACTAACATTGCAACAAACAATGCGCTTGCGCACGACACCAAACATTGTCATTGTATTGTTATAAGTTTCATACTGATCTACAAACCACATGGGAAATAATTAACGATGTTTTCCTAGTTTTCGTAAGAAATGGAAGGAAAATGTCTACGTTAAAGTTTATTACTATTATTTATAGTCTGTACCGCAACCAAAAGTAGATTATTCAATACAGTGTGTTTAGTTTTGAGTATTTTTATCCGCAATATTTAAGTTTTAAATGATATAACTTAAAACTTTATTATCTTTTGAGTAATTATACATCTGGTTACTTTTGAATAATGCAATCTATTCGTGCATTGTTTCTGCAGAAAGCCGAAGCGATATTATGATGGAAGTCATTTGTTTGGAACTAGACTAAAGTATATAATGAATTTCAACTGCAAGAAGCATTAAAAGGAATAAATAATATTCGCTTAATATGTAAATCTATGTATCTAAAGAAATGCTCAAAGAAAAAGTTTTATCTTTTTAATGCAATTTTAAATGTCAACAAATTTCCTCTGACACAAACAAGATAAATAAATACCAACATGCCAGATTTCCTGGAGCTGCTTGACATTTTTAATAAAAGCAAACAACAAACATTTCTACAATTCCTCTGCGCCGGTCGTGACGGCTCGCCGGCTGTCCCGTCCCGCTGCAACTGCTTAAATAATTCAACTGTCATGCTACTGGCCCGTGGCGACTGTTTGACCAGTAAACATTACAAAATTTGATTCTCTGCAAGTGATGCAAGGCAGTAGATCTCTACTGTTAAAGTGCTTATATTCCAATTTTAAAACCTAAGTTTATTTTTTGTTCATCGCAGTTTACATAATAATTACGACTATTCTCTTTGCACAATTAGCAATTTCGCGCTACTATTACTACATATAGTTATGCCAAATATTAATCTATGTAGTTAATACACAAACATGAGGAGCTAAGGAGCGGAACATGTTCGCGAGACGCGGCGGGCCGGGGCGGGCGGCTGTCCTGTTTGTTTCGGATGTAATTAGCACGAGCTGCGCCATCGATCTCTGTTTATCTCCGCTTGTCTTATATTAACGATATTATGCAGCAACAAACAACGAAGCTTAAATAATAACAAAAGTCTTGGTTAATTTAAAAGAAACAATACCTGACCTATCGAACTCCATGACTTTCAAAACATGAAGATTACAAGAACATAATTTCCATATTCATTTGCTAAATAACTTCTCGATAACTTGGATCAATTTTGCTAAGAACTTCGTAGTGACATTTTAAAAATATACCGAACAAAATGGGATGAGGTGACAAATATAAAATATAATCGTACCTGTGAGGGAGACTTATCCGCCAGCTGTTGTTTTGTGTCTGCATACTCCACTCCCGCATTCGCTGGCGAGCTCACTGGAAATAACACATCATTCAATAAATCACCTCTGTATTCTTAGGTTACAGAATCCTCTCTTAGCATTAAAACAATATCAAATTATTATATACACAATTCCCATATGGTGCGACGAATTAAAAAAAGATAGTAAAGTCCAATAAAATTCAAGTAAACAATACAGATATTTCTTACAAAGAACGTTTAATTTCAAGTTAAATAGCTAAAAGCACCACGAAATATCTTAACATAAAAGTTAACGGACTAGAAATATTTAATGTTAATATAAATACGAAAATGTGTTCAATATTTTTTCAACATAAATATTATCTGCCATCAAAGTTAACAAACAAAAATTCTATCATATTATTGCCGAGTTATAAAATTTTATTCCGAAAGGTTATTTTCAGCAAAAATTTATCGTTCATAGTCCAAAGTCAATGGATTCTCTAACAAATGAGTTGAAGCAGTAAAATTCATTGAAGGGACATAAACCTCGCAGATCATCATACAAAGTCAAATTGAAAATTTTTAGGAGCCGATAGTTTCCACTTCAACTAACCTTTTTATACTCATCGACATTTTTAATATTACATTTCAAAGCTTATGTACTCTTTGAAAACTTTTATTTATTTTATACGTGACTATAACAGACAATAAATAATATTTTCAAATGTAAATCAAGAATTAAAAAAAAGTAAAAAAAAAATCACCTGTAGACAGAGCCGGCGCACGTTTCTTCAAAGCATTATTTTCTGTTTTTATTAGATTTCTTTTGTTATCAAATTCTCCATTAACTGCCACCATCAGCAGGAAGAACGTTACCTATAGAAAGATGATATATGAACTGGATTAGGGACTACCGATACAGACTAGTGGTCATGGTTTTCAATTTGCGCCAACACACTGTAAACCATAGCACAAGCTTCGTGTTTATTTGAAATGATACAAAAATAAATTTAGTAATGATTTTTTGAGTGCTTTTGCACTATAGACAGGTGTGGCATAAATATAACAAGCATCATAGACTAGATAAAGAACACTAGTTTACGACAAAACACACGTATTCGTATATATAAATAATACTATATTTAATTTTATTATCAAATTTAAAATTTAATATTATGTAACGTATTAAATAATAAAAACAACATACATATAACCGCATCTTGGTTGAGCACTATCACTTTAACTCACAATCAATAAACTGACATGCGCCTGCGCAACGCGAGATACCTAGCCGGTCAGTCAGTGCGCCGGCCGCGCGACCTCTTATATGCCCTGCGCTCTGCGGGGCGTACTGGCATGCCCCAAACCACCTCGTAAATTATTGTTACATTTCTCATACATATTTGTCCCCTTATCATACACACTAGATAATGTCAAGTTCTACTATTTTGTTCGTCATAAGTTATTATACCTAATGTTAAAGGAAGAGAAATAGTCTTAATTTGGCTGTGGTAACTTTCACATATCTCCAAAAAAAAAAGAAATTATTAGTAGCTTTTCAAAACTATTAAGTTTCAAATGTTTGGGAACTGGACAGGCAAAAACGTATTACTTACTAAAAACACCAAACAAATATTTTGCTAAAGCTTCGAAGTAAGCTTGACTTCTTTTCTAGTAATTAAAAAAGTGTCTAGAATAAAGGGAATATAAAAATTAGAGCACTGTTCGCAGCACACTGTTTCACGTAAAACATTTGGTAAACAAACAAGTTTTGTATCCAGCATCCCGTACAATAATTTCATGTAGCCGGTATTATATTGTTACATTCGGCGAAACCTTTATTTACCCCCGCGGAGTATTTGTTTGAGTTGACAATCGGCAGGAGTTAAACAGAGTTGGTCGCTTTAATTAACTGAAACAACGCCTCGGCGTCGCGTTTAACCATTAATTAGAGTCACATTTCTGTTAAATCCATTATGAGGGAAATTACTTTTGCAAAATCATTTCATGTTTGTTTCTACATCTACTTATTGCCTTTTAAGTTGAATATTTCTAAATTAAACATAATGACTATGTATTTAACACCAACTCAAAAACTGAAGCTAGTCTAACACATAAGCAGGCAGGGAAAAAATGCGAGGAAAAAAAAATTGCGAAAAGGGTGGATTTAGATCCGCATATCAACAGATTATGTAACTTCAAAGTTGCATAATTCAAACATCCTATATTCTATTCCTCGTCACTTTGATGGACAACAAAACAACAAAATCTGTCATTCTAAAGAAGCACGTTGTAGCCCATTGTAAGAGTAAAATGGATGAAATAATTTGTGTATATCAGTGTTGCTATTTGCGTGAATTTATTTAAACCGTGTACTTAAATAGCTACTTAATTTTTAACATCGCTCCACTTGATTTCAGTGACATGTAGTAACAAATCCCAAGTCAAGATAACTCTGAACTACATGTGATACAGATACAAAAATAGGGTGTGTCAGTAGTCATTGATCATCGTGTAGAGAGGTCGTGCAAGTTAGTGCGGCCGCGGGGCTGCGGGGTGCGGGGGCGGGGCAGCACGTTATTGATGGCGTGTGTAGACAATTTGTTGCTTTGCTTGCTCCTTGTTGAAAGAAACTGTATTTATATGTTGGGGTTGTTGACATTTTGATTGCGACTTAACATCTGACACATAATGTTACTAATCTTAGCAAATCTCTTAATATACTGCAACCTACTGCTATTTAATGAGTTCTCTATCATATAACATTTATAAGTCGTAATGAACAACTTTAGACGGGCACTGTACAAAGCGCAGAAGTTATTCGGCAGAAGCGAGCGACTGTTGCCACTAATTATATCTCGACAACCGGACTGTACGTGCGAATCATAAGCTAATTAGGTAATGAGGCTGGAATTTTGCATCCGCCCCACGAGCGACTCGTTACCCTTCTAGCACACTGCCGCAAGTGCGAACTAAAGCGAAGCCAACTTAGGTTTAGCTCCTGGCAAAGATTTGGTTTATACAGGTAAACCATTCAGCGGCCCAATCATGAAAGTCCGAATCGAAATCTGAGGAGAAGAATTCGTTCCATTTTCCTTTTATTTTTTATCATATGCTTCAATTCCGTTTCGTTTTCGCGACTGTGTGCTACAAACTTTAAGAACCTCGCTATGCTGGGATTAGATTCACTCGCTGGCACCCCGCTCTCACTAATTACTATGTTTTTATAAACAACCGTTGCTTGTTCCGAGTCTCCAAGTTTCCTCTAATTGTATCTTTTATGGAGGCAAAATCATAAGCGACGTTACTCTACGTTGTTCTCTCATAATACAATTATAAAGAACACCCATGATTATCAAGGAATTACAATTTGACTCTAGATATTTTATGCATTGCCCGCGTTAAATCACGTAAGTCTGTTATGTCATGTATTGGTCTAATCAATTACGTACGTTATGTAAATCGTTAAATCTAACCCTATAAGTATATATATATATATGTATGTAAAGATATTCGTAGCTGCAGTTAAGAAGATAAGTAACCCTAAGATATCTTACAAATTATATAATATTGTGAACAGAGTCCTTAGTGCTCTACTAGACGAGTTATATCAAGTTCCTTAAAAGCCTTCATCAGGATTCTTCTCCCGTGACCATTTATTATTGATTGATAGATTGATTTACATTTAAGCAAACAGCAACAGATGTAAATAGTAAAAACTAACTTTATATAAAGATAATCCTCGTCTAATACATAACAATGTTTATATATGTAAACAATGTTTTCTGTAATTTGAAACGTACGTTTTAAATTAAGTCATCGTCGATGTTTCACAATCTCCATATAAGCTGTGAAACGCAAACTATTTTGATAGAAAATATTATCTGCGAGTTAATTTGTTTGTTACTTATCCAGAATTTTACTTGGTCATTGTGGAACCGGCCCTAAACGAAAGTTAGTGGGAAATAACATGACAGATTCAAACTGTAATAATTTGTTTATATTTGAGTTAAATACCAAAAAAATACCAAATAAATATTACATAATGACCATAACACGTAAACATCGCTTGTAGGGCAACTGGGTTTATATGTCTCTTTATGTAATTAAAAGTCATATAAACTGATATGTGTTATGTAATAAGTAGCTACATAAGTATAAAGTAATATGTTTCATTAAGAACATCCGTACGTCGTGAACCGAGGTGTCGTCACATCCGGACTACGACCGGATAAAGTCAACTCTTTAACATCTGTTACTTTATATACTTACAAACTTGTTACCTCGCTAGTATGTTTTATTTTTGAAATTTTTGGTTTATTACTTAAACAGGCAACAATTATTATTTAAATATTTTTTTAATTTATGCAGTAATTTGTTGATAAGAAAACACAACAAGAAGTTCATGAACCGTAATTACTGTTAGGAATCAAGGTTTAAAGAGTTTTTTCTAAGTTAATTTATATTAAGTACAATATAGATCCTTAGATTAAATAAAATTATAACGCGTTACCTTGCAAAAACAAGGCATTTAGATTGTCGAGGCAATACTAGTTACTTTTAGATTAGTATTGAGGCTCAGCGGTTTAAAAAAAAACTAATGTAATACACTGAGTACATAAGTACTAGCATACCTAAGCCTACGGCAATTTTAACATGCGATTAGTTTGCGCAACTGGCTACCACGCAACGTGCCTATGTCGACCACATACGACTCTCCGACGACCTAATTATATGACAGCCTCTTGAACACACCTCTCTCAGTCTCACATTTAACATTTATACTGGTTTTATTTAACATCCATTTTTGGTTAATCCACTTACATAAAACAAGTCAAATTCATTGACTATACGTTCACAATAATATAAAAACTGTAGAAAAAGTAATTTCTCCAGATGTTCGTTTGTTTCTAGATGCACAAAATCCCACAGGTGACGTCACACACTTAGGTACATATGTCATCAAAATTAGAGCACTATGTAACAGCTGAATGTGACAACAATTATAGCACAATTATATGAATGTTGTCAACAGCAAACATGCAACGTGAGCATTTAGATGCTCACGTTGCATGTTTAGATTTTAATTAGTTAAAATCTAATTAAAATACACAAAGAAATCAAGATACAGATATAAGATATTAATTTAACATTCAAACAATGTAGTTCACATTAATTTAATGTTTTAAAACTCGAAGCGATTACGTTTTATAGCGCGAGATAAGTGTAAAAACCTAATTAAAGGAATTTTATTTTATGGTTTTTTATTTTTTATTTATTAATGCCGCGAAGCATCGTTCACTTTTCAGTGAAAAGGTCTAATACCTTCTGTCTCAGCTGACTCATACTGACACATACTGACTGACTAAAATATAAGTTTTAATAAAATCAATTTCGGCTACATAATGTACGATTTTAATTGGGTTCTACAATCTCTGCTCAATATAACAACGGTCTCAATAAAGTCATATTTTTCCTGCATCTTTTATAATATAAAATTGAAGGGGATCTCGCTAAATACGCTTCAAATCGTACTACAAGTGAAGTTGTTTAGACGTCATATTACATAAGTTACGTTTAAGTGAAGTGGAATTAGATCACATGTTAAATGTTTTTTTATTTACTTAGAACACTATCACACTGACGTACTTTGACATTTCTTATTATTTGTACATACTTTGCTTTTGCATCGAAAAATCAAAGAGTAAATTATATTTTTTGGTATCTAATTTTAGCAATAAGCCAAAATCTAGAAACATTGATTAATTATAAAACACCAGAGATAAACATTTATAAGAAGATGCAGAATGATTCCCATCTCTTTTGGAGCAGAAGTAGGCATAACCAAGAATTATTGAGATCTTTAACTTTTATCAAAAAAGCTAAAATACAGATCAAGACGTCAACGCGTCAGTGTAAACTCGGTCTTTCTCTGGACACTAGATCAACAGGTCAAATTGAGATCGACTTTCACTGCGAAATGTGCGAGCGTCAGGTGTCCCTCCCCTCCCACCCCGCTTCTTACGTCACACGCCTCGAGAAAAGCCGCTCCAGAATCCAAAGAATGGAAAACAACTCAAAGACCGATTATAAGATTCATTTATTTCAAATCTTTCAAAGAAATGATAAAAAGGTTGCATAAACAATTAAAAGATTCAGAAAAAGTCTACGCGTATTCCACTTTACTATTTACTAAATATTATCTAAATTTTTATAAATCTACTAGCAACATTTTTTGACCTACATAATTTTTGAAAGTTCCTTGCCTCCGTATAATTTGCCTTTATACTTAATACAATTTTCTAGTCTGGTTAACAACGATTAAGTATATCTTAAATAAGTATTTTTGTCTTGACATCATAACGTAAAAGCAATCTTCTCACAAACGCATGGAACGCGGGCCTGTAAAAAGTTATATGTTTAATTAAGTGGATAAGGGATTCTATGACTAGATAAATTGTACAACTAATTACTACAATAATTTCAATAGAGATAAAAATAAAACATTCCAATATACATATAATCTTGAGTCTCGATTGCATTCTCGATTAAAACGGATATAAATGCAACACGCCACAAACCAAAACGACTGTGGAATGACAGAGAAATATTTAAGCAGCGCATTTTTCATGGCACAGCCCCGCTGCCGGCTACCGAGTGGCAAATGGAACAGAAAGAGACTACGAAAACCAAGCTGTTTGATTAAAATTCGTCTGCAGAACAATGTGGACGCTCGTTCTTTATTTCCCGGAGCTTTAATTTGACTTCACGGAATGTTGAACTCACTTTGAAATTTACTTTACGCTTTTATCTATTTTAAACATTTTTACAGGACCACAGATGCAGTACACGAAATTCGACAAAGGTTTCCAACAGCTTGCCACTCAAATATTACTGTACTTGCAATCAATAAAACGATAGATGAGAAACATTAAGCAACTTTAAATACTAATTCGCAACTCAACGTTTAGACAGATTGTTGCTATTTATTAATAGTAGGCATATCGGTGAATTTAGAGCTCGCAGGTTGACCATTAAAGAAATAGACACGCGTTTCATTTTAATAATGAATGAGATATTTATATAAAAGAAAGTAATTTTATTGAATTAAAAAACAAGTCTAATTAAACATAATGATGCTAATAACGAGATTTGTGTGCACAAATATGTAGAAATCAATTGTAGGAGACGAGCTAGATGTAATGAATTCTTCTAACAGAAACAGTAAAGTCTGTCCACATGACAAGGTGACAATGTTAAGTTATTGCATTGACAAACCTCTAAACATGTCGTACCGGTATTTGCTCACCTACTGGTCACAGTCGAGTAAAGCACGGACACAGGCTGACTACCTCATTCAACTATTGGGTACATTTAGTGCGGTTGTATCAAGATCATTAAAAAAATTAAAAATGCGCGCGTAATTTTATAATCTACTAAGGATTCTCGTCCTGTCACTACTGCATAAAGGTAAGTATTAAAGACTTTTGTTATTATTAAACATAACTACCCTAACCATCTAACTTTATTTTTTTTTTACTTTTCCCTAACTTTCCTTCACTAGGGCTTATGTGTAGTTAATAAACTTAAACTGGGTCCAGTTTACATTGATATGCAAAAAAATATTACTTAATACATCTTTTTATTATTTTTCATCTAAATATGAACACCTTTAAAGGTAATTGTTTTCGTCTTACATTTTGTTTAAAAGCTTTGGATAAGAATAATCATTTCAATGAGGTTGTTTATAGAAACAGTAGGTAATAAATTAACGTGTTAACATCTCAGATGTTCTCTACATATGTAACAGATAACAAAAAAACATTTTTTGTTACTAATTACTTATAATTAAACATGTATAAAGCATAATCTAATTTATTGATAATAGCAGTTCCTCGCGATCTCGTACGCGAGGAATAAAAAAGATAATAAATATAGCCTATGTCACCCGGGGATAGTGTGAATTCCCAACAGTTGTCAGTGAAAGATTTTTTTCAAATCAGTTCAGTAATTTCGGAGCCTATTCAATGTAAACAATCAAATATTTGATGTTTATAATTATACTGGTATAGATATAATAACAGATCCGATCTATCCACATTCTGTGAATATTCTTTATAATTTTTGTTCGATTGCAATGGTCTCATTAACTATGTTGACACTTGTTCGACTTGCAAATTCATAGACCTTTGATCGAATCTCAATCCGCGCTAATCAACTTTTGCATAAGACACATGGACAGATATTAATTAAATGACGTATTAACTACATAATGAACAGACAAACATATCGTGAACTCTAAGTAAAACATATTTAACTCATAATTTCTATCCTTTTGATCATCTCACTAACGTTAATCTTTCTTAAAATATTTTATACACCAATAATAGCTTAAGCTTAACTTCATTTTAATATTTCTGTTTGCGTTTGAATCAATTGTATGTCATCCTTGGAAGAGACAAATTGGCGGCAAATTCTATTGACAACATTCTAATCGGTATTGCCACTGCGGGACAGGTAACGGTGCCTAACCTCTGATTTATCTCTGGCCGTATTAATTATTTAAAAACAAAACTGACAGCGGCTTGTTATGGCACGCCACACTGCACGTAAAGGTTAAAGATTTTAGCATTTTATTATCTGTTCAGTCGCCCACTCACCTCCTTGTGTTGACCTAGACAGGAAAGTACTAATTTGCCTTCGAAACGAAATTGATACAGTTTTAACAAGTGGTTTGGCGCCTTTTTGAATGGACCGCCACGGTCAATTTATGACAGTTAATGTTTTTAGTCAAAGGGCAACTCACGTACAGCCACAGCCTTAAGCATTATGCATAGAATAAAACAATTTAGTTTATTTCCTGTAATAAAAGTATGTTATGAAGGATTACAGGAAAATTATTATACTTTAACAGATTAAACATGTTTGCCAGAAAATGTGACATACAAATCTCTACCAAAATCAGAGTAATCGCAACAACAGTTTGTTATAAAGGCGTTAGACTTCTTGCAGGTCATTTAAAAAAAATTTATTATTATTATTAAAACTTAAATTTTGTTAATCGATTCAAACTATCAATTCAGTGTTCCCCCTGGAGTTAAGAAGAGAAAATAAAGTAAAGAGGGTACAGAACTTCAAGAATAAATGTAACACAATATCAAAATCTGTAAAATTCAGAAAATAGTCAACGAGAAAAAAGTTTGGAAATCTCTATTTAAGACACATCTAACTTATTTTATACAGACACCTGTTTAACCCGAAATTTCTAAAAATAAAGAAAAAAACTAATTACAATTTAAAATATTCCTAAACAATTTGTTAAAATCATAAAAATAATTCAAGTTGGACCGGTCTAGCGGACGAATTGACACCAACGAATTTGGCGATAATCAGTGAAGTTTTTGGAAGGTGATTTATTGTGGACACGGAAACAACGGCTCGGGGAATGAGAACCAACATCACAGCAATTAATAAACTTTTGACACCGACTACTTTCTATGTCCATTTTGTTAAATTGCACTTTAGCGGTAGTCGATTTTATTTATATCTTGTTTGTGAAAAATTGAACAGTTTTAACTTCGCTGATCGAATAGTTTTAGAAACTTTTTAGTGCAGTCACGTTAAATAGTCATATTTTTATGTTTTTTTATGGTGGGAACACCAAAGTGGTTTTCGACGCCCATAGACATCCATGAATAGATACACATTTATGAGTTCATAATGTATTTAATTGACCATTACACATAATATAATACATACTCTTTAATAAGCTTTAACAATCAAGAAGGACAGTACTGCAAAATGTAAATTAGTAAACTCTGTATATTTCTCTGTGGTATGGACGTGAAACTTACAAACTTTACCCCTTATTGCGAAAGTGATATCAAATTCGATAGTTACAGAGGAAAATAAATTTTTAATCTAGCAGAAGTCTAGGCTGTGTTAATTAGTACAAGTAATATCCCACGAGACATCAATGAGGTTGTCGCCTTTGTATAGATTCTGTTATCTGCGATACCATTCTATTTTAACATAGGATTTCTAATTAAGAACTCACAAACACAGCTACAAAATCTACTTCAATTCAATTGTTATAGATTCGAACAATAAATAAACGTAATTATAACTTTACGTTGAAAGTCAACAGATTACACGTTTTTATTAGAACTTAATTAAATAAATCTTATATTTAAACTTTTCAAACAAGTATTATTGTATACAAATTAAAGATATTATTGTCTCCGTTCAAAAACAATAAAAGGGTTGCCATTATTATGTTTTTATTATTCATATATTTTGATAGTGGACCGACTGAAATACTCACGTATGCAAAGGTCAGTACTAGTGACCTTGAATATAACAAGCTATTATTCTAGCCCGTAGGCATACTGCGGCCTCCCTTTGAGTTTTAACAAGTTAGTTAATTACAATGTGACCTTGTGACAACGTCCAGCGCCACCGCCCGCCGCTGCCGCCCGCCGCCGCCGCGCTTCATAAATGATGCACAGCATTCAGCGCTTGTCGCTTTTACCTAACTTGTGACACAGATGTTAGCAAACAAATATTTTGACCAGCTGTCTATGCTACGACCACTAGTGAAAACTTGTAAATAAATTAAAACTTGTATCCGCACACAGTACCTACACCTATTGACATTTTTAACGAACAATATTCTTCGTGTTTCCTATGATACATCTGTACGCTGACAGAATGTGTTAAAATAAAAAAGATTAATTGCTTAATTAATAAATCCCCTGCGTGATATACAGGAAGCTTCAAATTGAACTCTCAGTTACATGTATCGTCAGCTAACAATGTCAGTGACAGGTGACAGGCGACAGGTGACAGGCGGCAGGTTATTACCCGCTGCACCTGACACGCGTGAGTTATTGCGCGAGACAGTGACGCACGTCACATTACGCTGAACTCATCAAGACTATAAGTACAATATGGAGTAAACAGAGGACCATAAATATTGTTATTGTAAAATACAATGTAAAAAATACTTTATTCTTCTTTGTTTTTCTGGATTGATGCTTGATTAAGTCGAGTCTATTTGAGGAAGTCTAAGTAGACATAATAAAAAAAAATACTTTTCCTCTTTGCAGATGGTGAAACTAAGTGGCCTATTGCTCCTGTTGCTGACATCTGATGTAGTCGTGAGCATACCGCAGATGCATCATGTCAAGCGATCGCTAGACAATACAAAGCACATCACACAAACTATCATCAAACATGACACGGAGAAGATGGTGCCAATACCTCTCCACGCAGTCGTCATCGAACCTTCAAGAAAACCGAAGTCATCGTCTTTATCCATTTCCATACCGCATCAGTTATTAGTGAATAACTTACACGTCATACCGATCTCGAACGTTCATCAGGTCCATGGGAACGCGCACCACGATGTGCCCACTGTCATCTCTCACACGGTATCCCATGGATCCACAAATGTCACGCACCAGCAGTTGGTGCCTGTGTTGATACCCATTCACAATCATCTAGTACCGGTCCACGATTTGACGGTCATACCGCTGCATAGTGTTGTACACAAGAATACCAACATCGGTTTCAAAATAACCGACAATCACGTGCCAGATGAATCCATAAACAGTTACCGGAATCCTCTCGGTGGGTACGGTGCGGGGTGGTACTTCGGCGGACACGGCGCTGGACATGGATTCCATTATTCTTATGGATAGTTAATTGTTAACTGCTTTATTGTTTAGTATTAATTACTATAGTATTTTATTTATATTTGAGTAATTTATTTAAAATGTAATCATTAAAGTTTTATTTATTGCCTTGCCTAATGATTTTATTTTGATGAACCTATTTGGCTCTTATTATTCACGAATCAAATTCATTCAACAAGATAGCTATTCATTACTAATTAAATTTAATTTATTTCAAAATTAAGTATTAAATACAACTTGCAGCATATCAAATAGTTTAGAAGAAATTGTATTGTCTCGTAGACTTTTGCCAGACATCTCGTCATATGGAAATATGTCTGGCAAAAGTCTAATAGATAAATAAACACTTCACCGTCGTAATATCATTGAAGTGGTGCGTTATTTTATCTCTAAATATGTCTACTTTAAAAATATACTCATTTTTATCTCTGAAGAACTCTTACTTTGAAATTGGTAACTATTTCTTACGGGTTATTTTCGTATCTAAAATCAGCTTATAGAAGTGTGACCGAACTCGTGATCTTCGAGAATGCATGTTGCATGCATTTGAACACTAATATATATGCGGGGATAAAGGGCTGTGTTAATTATCATCACCATAATAATATACCAAACTTTAAAAAACCTGGAGTACGCGTCTTGATGCATACTTTTAGAGAGTTAAATTTTGCAAACATCAAAAGCCAAATTCCGTAAGTAGTTACTACCTACTACAATTACACCTAGCTGATATCAGATACTTTTCCGAAAGAGATTATGACGAAGAGGTCAGTGGTAGAAGCGTGATAATGTGTAGGCCGGGTCGTGGCCGCTATCTACTATCTCCAAAGCACTACCTCACAGATAGCGGGTAGCACACCGGCTACTAGCTGTACCTGAGGTGACACGCTGTACCGTTAGCCAACAGTTAGTGGACCCGTGCACCTCAATACAAACGGACCGGTCGCGCATACGTTTATAGTAAGCGACAAATATAGTGTGAAAACTAATAATAAAATTCCTCTGAATTAAATAATCAAGTAAGTGTATTTAAGTATAACTAATAATTAATTAACAGATTAATTTGTGTCATCTAGATAACAATAATTTACCTTTCCTAGATCATTAGGATCTAGAAAAAGGAGTGGCAGTGCCGATACTTTTTTTCTATGGAATACTATTAATGCTATAATATTATTCTAATAAAATGTAAATTTTATCTAGTAGCTCTATACTGTATAAGTCACATAAAATAACTTTTGCACACATTGATTATGGAATTTTCATAATTTGCTATTTAGCATATAAATTTAGTAACTTTGCAACGTATACTAAAAAAATGTTATTGCATTCACACTGATCGTGACACCTGACCCCGTGTTGGGTCAAACTGCATCGATTTTAAAACATGTAAATAATATTTTGTTCTGTTGCAGTTTACAAGTGCAGATATTGATAAGGAACGCCAATTGCCACAATAATTGCTTAAAAGATAATTTTACAAAATGAGGTAAGCACACAATTACATCTTTATTAAAACAAATGAATGTATGCAGGACCCAATAATTTGCTATTGCTGTAAATAAACTTTTTTGTTTGCAGATTACAAGAAGTATGCCTGATGTTCACTTTAATGAGTGTTATAAGCTTCGTGAACAGCCATTCTCTACACGGTACTTTAAGATTTTATTTTTTCAGACATAATAATAACCAGGAAATACGCAAAACAATTATTTTAATACTTGCGATATCTTACAGAAAATTTCACTAACAATTTCTCATCATCAATTCTTTAATACTAAACTAGTTTTGTTGTAATATTCCTGTATTAACACAAATATTTATCAGGTTACATAAAGAACGAGAAGCTGAGGACGGCTTATAGAATAGTGTACCGCTCACAGCCGTGGCCGGTGGCGCGGGACATGTGCGCGGAGGAAGGCGGGAAACTCGCCGTGCCCAAGTCTGAGGTAAACAGTCAAAGGATTCGTTATATTTGTCTGAGTTTAGAAAGTCACCAACTCTTCGACAATTCAATTGTTGTTGCAGGAAGAGTTTCTATTCCTGCAAAAGTTAGTGCGCGGTATGCACTACCCTGCGGTGGTCGACGCAGCGGACAAGCTGGTGGTGTGGCTTGGCATCTCCAAATTGCACGACCACAAGATATGGACCAGTGTTGATGGTAACTGTCCTATGTATTCTATAGTAAACGATTTCTCGCGGACTATTTGAATAAGTAAACAGCTCTCTTTAGTCGCTGTAGGAATATGAATGTGACGCGACGACTCTTACGATTCTTTATTGTAATCACATAAAAAACTTTTTCCTTTTCTCTTATTCAATTATTCAACATATCATCATGCAATTTTGCTTTTAATAAACAGAACCTTGCTGATGCTTCTTTGCTTTTAAGACTGCACTTCAAAGTCCATGAATTCATCAGGATAACGAGGCTAGAGACGGTAGCTCCGCGATACGAGGTCTTGGGTCTGTGATCTGGGGCAGGACTATAAAACTGTTTCTAGCGCAAGTTGTACTAAAACGTGGAGATAGCGCGCCCGCTAACGAGCCGTAAACATGTGTGTGCATTTAGTGTGCTCACACACCAACATACGACACTGTTATTAAACTTATCTTACAGTTAGATACTAGAAAGTTAAAATAGTAGGTTTTTAACAATTTGTTGAAAAAAAATATATTTTCTAATTTCTCATCATTTTAATCTTACTAATATTATAAATGCTAATGTCTGTTAGAATATATCTCCAGAAGGGCTGCATGGATATTGCTTAAATTTGCCGTATATATAGGTTTTTTTAATACCGAGCGGAGAGAATCGCGGGAATTACGTAAACATTAATCAGTTCATTTAGAAAATACAAGAACTACTAATGTTTTGTTCTTACGATATCCGTCTAGTGTGGGTCCACACTTGTTTATCCAGCGAAGCATTAGCGATAGTGCAAAGTAAATGCCAGACGCATAAACTAACTACTAAAAGGTAATGATAGCTCAGCTTGGACTCTGCACTGAACATCTTACTTACTTACTTATGTGTATCTTAATACACCCACATTACGTACGTCAGCTGCTACATTTATTGGGACATGTTAAAGTTAATGAGTTTACTATCGATGTAGGTGACATTACATGCAGGTTACACTGCTCATTAACAATGTATCATACATTGTAACGTAATCATAATGATGTACCAAATCATCAGTAGATTATCTATGTGTTGTGTTCCAGGTGATGACATCAGGGACATAGGTTTCGACCGGTGGGCTGGGGACAACGGACTCACTACTAGGTACGTATGGCATTAGGAATTAGTGGCCAGTAATCTTTGAAATTACAGATAAAAAATATATATTTACGTGTATATACTAATCTTAGCTGATAATAACTAAAAGTAATAAAATAGTTTCTATGTCCTGATCCTGTCTAGCAATGATGTTGAGGAGCCGCAATGCGCTGCGCTGGACGCGGTGAACCCGGGTCTGCGCGACTGGTGGTGCCATCTGCCGCAACCCTTCATCTGCCAAATGCAACTCGACAGTGAAGACTGAACATCACATTCCTGTTTTAGTTTTATGTTCTCGGAATTGAGTTGGCACGTGAAAAACTATTTTTTTTTTCTGTCGTACGTGCCAACTCAAGCACAGGATAGCTGCATTACTACATTTCAAGTATTATTTCTGCCTTATTGTTATTATATTATATTTAAAAACAATATGTAAAACATTTATTTAAATTTTCTATGTTAACAATAAAAAGTGCATACAACGTTTTTTTCTGTTTGTAATATCGGTAACAAAAAAAAGTATGCCAATTCAAATAAAAAGAAAGATAAATCCAATTCGAATGAAGTTAAAAAAAGAAGTCGGCGTTAAAAGCTCAAGCATTGGGCAGCCGTAATAAAATCACATCGTTCAAATCCCCCATTTAATAAAACGATAATAAGCGGAGATATTAAACGCTGCCCCCCCCCCCGCACCTTCCTTCCCCTGGCCGAGGTATTATGTAAAAATTCCAATATAAATGTTAAAGCCGCGCCCCCGAGCTCAGACTCAATAAAACTTTGCAAGATCCCGCGGGAAGTTTTAATTCAATCACATGGTATGAGGATTACGCGTCCATCTTCATACAACATGTAAGGACTTATGTTACTTATTATTTAACTTTCATATTTCCAGCGGAAACTTAAGCTTACCTCATTCAAACTTGGAGTACTAGTATGCATAAATAATATTTCTTTAACCTTTTAGCAAACATTTTAGTTTTTTTTTTATAAAACAATGCATGTTTTGTTCCATATCATACTTGGTGGCGAATTTTGTACTTATTAAGTAAAAAAGGAATGCTAAATAACTACTTTAAATTTATATCAAAGGAACTAGCTTCGTTCGTGCAAAGGAAAAACATTAGTAAGTAGGCTACTTAGTGGTCTTCCAGACTGCGTTCTAGATCCTTATCAAGTTATCCAGGTCCATCCAACCGCTCTGTTGCTCCGCTGTAACCTTCAAACAAACATCCATCGAATCAGTAGCATTTATTATCTGACCAATTTTTAAACCCTAAATTGAATCGAATACAAACACTGCCATCTGTTGGCTAGCAGACAAACCACTCACAAATATTTTGATTTTTAAAAGCGCCATCTATTGATGATAACTAATACTAATACATAATTCTTTAATTATATAACTTTGTGCGTAAAGAAATGAAAATATACAAAAACATATGAAATGCTTCGCAAGTTAAGCAAAATATAGCATTTTAATTAAAAATTTAGAGGCGTTTTAATTTTACTTTTACTGACAACTATGGGACTAACTGTCAATGTCAGCGTCAGCTGTGACTGCAAATGTCACTGCAAAATATTTTACTTTCGAGGTTACAACATTATTATTCTAATTTTATATTATTTTTAAGTTGAAGGTAAGGAGTGTACTTTACGTGGACCTATAATTTCATATCTGAAGTATGATCAGCACTCAAATATGGACATAAAATGAATTAGCAAATCATAAGACGCTATAAATAATCCTAACCTCACTATTTTGTTTATTTTTTAGATGAATCTAATAAGAAGCGGCTTAAATCTTTTGGCGGCAGGAATTCGGACACAATGTTATCAAATACCAGGTACTACCTATCATTTAATACACTTTTTATAACATTTGTATTTTCATTAATGTGTTATCTTCACTAGCAGACCATTTATTCCCAGAGACAATTGTTCAAAATTAGGTTAACTGTATGCGTAGTATTGAGCTCTTATAAAGTATTTGTGGTCTTTAATCCTTAGAATTTCTACATCACACAAATTAAAACAATTTGAAAATGAACTCCGTGAAGGGTACAAATAAACTAGATTTTAGTAACATACTAAAATAGGTAACAATAAAGATATTAATTTTGTAATATTATGATTATATATGAGTATTAAGAAGTAACAAGCCACTGCTTGTTACAGGCACAAGGACATAAAAATCCTCAGTTTATGCTCTCCGACCGATAATAAATACACTTTATACTAACTTATATCCTAGATGCTTTCTAGGACATAGATGCCAAAGAGTTAATCACAATGTTGTAAATTAACCATATGCTAAAATCCCCCCTAACATAGGCAAGGCTCCAAGACCCTTGGTGGATAATTTCACCAAAATCTATTGAGGCGGAGATACCTTCAGACAAACATCCATTCTAAACATAAGAAAATATTATGTAATCCTCAAAAGACTTTAATTACTTACATGATAATGCATTGCAATTATAAATATTTATTAAAATTTGGTTGATATGAATAACTGTATTATGGAAATAAATGCATTTAATAACCATAGGGTTATAAAGGAACAAAACGAATGATGCATTGCATTGTTTGCCTTTTGTGTTTATGTATTTCAAACTAGTACATAGGAAGGCGGCGACGTCACATAGCTGTCAATATAGCGGCGGCTCAATTTACCGATGCTCACATCTGCATCATCAAGATTTACCAGCTGCCATTTCACTGCGTGCGATTGTGGTATTTATTGTTATTGTGTTAGAGATGATTGTGGCATATCATTGTTACGGTCAGCGTATTAGCGAGGGATCGTTATGTCGCGCCTGTATTTTACGAGGAACCCTTCCGCGTGGACCCGGATTAAATCTTGCGGTAACGTTAGCAAAAAAATGTTTGGAAAATCAATGAAATTGTTTCTATTAAATTAAACTACCGTTACAATTTTCATTGTGATTATTTTTCATATTTCCGAAGTTTTTAGTAATTTACAATACTCATGATCACATGGTGACCAGTATGTTGCTCTAGCTGCGAAAATAACTACTCATCTACAACAGTTTTAACAGATTATAAACTATATAAATTCCATAGTAATTCTTACTTGTTACGAAATGTCTATCACCGTACATACAAATATCATATTCTCTTGAATATAAATATGTGATCCGTGTACCTACTTTATTTGCCGACGCTACCATCCACCGCACGGTACGGTCCAAACAAAAGGGTTGCGGAGCCAGCGTGAGTCAGCGCGATGACCGCAGCCCGTAATCTGCGCCATTCACACCTCGGTCCATCTCCGGGCGGCGTGTGAGCGCAGAACTGACCGCATTGTGCGAGTTGTGCATTGTATGCGCTGAGCTGCCACTTTGCATGTGCTCACATATTCATTAATATCAAAGACATCAATGCCTCTATCGCTCACCGATGCCACTTTGGTACGCTGTTACCAATGACGATATCATTTGAGTCTTTGATACCTCACACTTAGGTCACTATACTCCATGATACCAGGTCTACTGAACAAAAGATATTCAAGTAACATGACATAGAGCAATCTTTTCATTTATTTTAAATGCAATTTAAAATAATAATATTATAAACTACTGTGATAAATAAAATTTTGGGCGATATAAAGAGTTATACATAATGAGTAAATAACAGTCAATAACTTTTTTGTTTATCTTGAATATGTTGACAAAAATTACCAAATCTTTATTTACATACGCTTCCTATACATGAAATGGCAAACTCACCCCTTTCCCCGAGCTCAGTCCCCCGTCCCCTCTCCCTGTTCTAATCAGAAGTCCTTCCCAGAAACTGCGCTGTCCATTAATAAGGCACAGGAATAGTAAAGGATTAGTTGATAACAAAACAGTTATTTGCAGTTCGTTGTGTCGCGTTGTGTTGTGTTGTGTTGTGTAAGTAGCATTGTCACTGTTGCGAACTGCAAATGCAATCACAATAGACCACTATGCCTTAAGACTGTCGCACACAAAGCTATGCTATGCTATAAACACAATTTTTATGATTTTTATAAATGTTATTTAATAAGGAACTTAAATAAAATTGACATCTTTATAATAATATAATAATGTACGACAAAATAAATTAATTTATTTAATTTCATAGAGTTGTTCGACTAATACTGCCACTATTTTATATTGTTGTAATAAAATGCGCAGATTTCGGTATTTAATGAAAAAGAATAAATCCCTATTGCAACGCTTTAAACTACGACAAAAATAAAAGATTATGTCACGTTAAAATTTCGTTATAAATAGCATTTACATAGCGCCCAGTATGCTCTCGTCCTAACGTATGCCCGATAGAGATGTAAAATTCCTGTATTCAAAAATATGGTTCATAACAATAACAATTGTTATAATGTCCGCCATACGCGACAACGACGCGTCGACGCCGAGACCAACTCTTGCCTATTGTCATTGTCACAGCGCACGGGTTTTTTGACCGAGAATGGGAGTCAGAGATAGGATCATATTTAAATCTGCGCCCGTCATCTGCGAACAATGCCCACTATTAGCGGATTATGATCTGCAAAAAGAGCAGGTACTTGTGGTCCTCGAGGCATAAGCGCTAGCGATTTGTTCAATGAGATTTTTTGTTGTAAGTAATACAGTTATTTTGTCATAAAGATTGTACTACTAAAATAATGTTAGCAAATAAGTTAAGTCCTATGCCTCCAGAGTTGTGAAGTCTTAAATCAAAGAGTTTTCAGTTAAACTTTTTAAATGAAGTCGTTATTTAAATAATATTACAAGTTAGCGTACGATATTGTTATCCTTATATAATATTATGTACGAATTATTAGCAAATAATTAATACTTTGCATTTGTAGAATACGATTAAAAGATAATTTCTTAATATGTGTTACTGTAGTACTATTTATTAGTTTTGATTATCAGTACAATTCCGCTTCCGCTTGTGTATTATGGCAAGCGTAATATTTTCTTGCATGTGGCAGATGCAAAGTGCGCAGTCCCGCGGGACGCTGGCCGGACGGCCGGACACTCACAATCCCGTCAGCCGGACACTACGTGACGTGGCAATAATCCGGACACACATTTGTTGTTTTAGTTGCGACGCAAATATTGACAACACCTGAAATGTGTTCAGGCTTCTTACGACGTCGTAATACCGAAAGTCTTTGCTTCCCCCTTGCTCTTGATATTCTTTAAGGAATGTTTACTTTGGAAATGCGAAAAGCGTAAGCAGTACACATTTGATTATAAACTGATTAGCAACTTAATTGCCGGTAAAAGACCAGACAAAGATGCACAAAAATGTATATTTATTGTGTGCCTTTTAATGTAATAAATTTCTTTACCGACGCCTGTACCGACGTACGACGACTAACCTAGTATCCTTTTGGTTGGTGCCTTTTTTTTGTGTGGAACAATTGAAGAACACTTTCAAACAATAACACCAATCTGGCGTACAGCAACCAATATTTTAGTACAATATGTTTATATAACTTGAATGTTCTCATGGGATCATAGTAGCGTGTCAATCATACGTCCCGAGTCCCGCTATCAGGCCCCCAAATCCGCGGGCAGTCGTCTCCCCGCTGCGCACAAACCATACAATTTACACAATAACTGCGCCGCCCAGACTTACCTCAACAAATGCGAATAACATTTTATACATCTTAATAAAAGGCTTGAAACTTGAAAAGGTTGAATTATACGATCGTTTACAAACTACCGTTTTATCTATGGAGATATAATCCAGCCCCAATAGCGGGAGACGTTGCTTTTGAAAATTAATTTTTTCCTAAACATGTCTGTGTATAAATGTTGTTTTAATAGTGGATCGTAGTAAACGAGCAATGAAGTTACTTACTTACTTACTCCGCTGGCGCATCGACCCAAAGTGGGTCTTGGCCTCCGACACAAGAGATCGCCAAAGTCGCCTGTCTTGCGCCTTCTCCTGCCAGTCCATCGCTTGTAGCTCCCGCAGATCCAGCTCTACGGCGTCTCGCCAGCGGTACCTGGGCCGACCGATGGGTCGGCGGCCAATCGGGGTCCCGAGGTATGCTGCTTTGGCCTTTCGATCTTCCCCCATTCTCATGAGGTGGCCCAGCCATCGGAGTCTTTGAGCTTTTGCTTCTCCGATGATATTCGGCTCACCCACCAGCGTCTCAATTTCCGCGTTGTAGCGGGTTCTCCAGCTGCCGTCTTCTCTTAGTGTTGGGCCCAGGATCTTGCGCATGATTTTTCTTTCCGCCACCAGAAGCTTTTCCTCCTCTTTAAGGGTCAGTGTCCAGGTTTCGCAGCCGTATAGCAAGATCGGTCTTATCACCGTTTTGTATATCCGTATCTTGGTTCTTCTGCTCAGTAGCTTCGACACTAACACTTGGTGCAGAGCGGCACTACAACGGAGGGCGTTGTGAATCCGGATGTTAATTTCCTCTTCTCGTGTATTGGTGTCCGTTATAGTGCATCCCAGGTACTTGAACTTGGCGGTCCCTTTGAACAGAATATCGCCAACGCGCAAATCTTCACGCTCTTTTCTTGTGTTATTGTAGCGTTTCATGTGGTGATATTCCGTTTTATCATGGTTAAGTTTGAGCCCAACCCTAGAGGCTTCGGAGATCAGAGCTCGAACCGCGCACTGCACTTCTACTTTACTCTCACCCAGAAGAGCTATGTCATCGGCATATCCGATCACCCTATGTTGTCCATTTAGCCGTATCCCGGTGTCCAATGCCAGCAATTTTCTTATGACATGCTCCAGGGCTATGTTGAACAACGTCGGGGACAGCGCATCTCCTTGCTTTAACCCGGTGACTACCTCAAACTCCTCGGTGACTTCGCCTCCAACCCTAATGCGCATTTTGCTCTCTTGCGTAGCCATCTTGATCAGATTGATGAGTTTTTGTGGGATTCCGAAGTTGTTGAGTATGGCGTATAGTGACCCCCTATCTACACTGTCGTAGGCCTTGCTAAAGTCTACGAACAGTGCGTGAATGCTTTGTGCGTACTCCCATTTCTTCTCCATAAGCTGCTTCAGGAGAAATATTTGGTCCACCGTGCTACGATTTCGTCGGAACCCACACTGATAATCCCCGATGATTTGTTCCGCGTAGGGCTCTAGTCTATTCAGCAGCACGTAAGATAGTACCTTGTACGCTGTCGGGAGCAAAGCGATTCCTCGATAATTTGAGCACGTCTTCTTGCATCCTTTTTTATGGATAGGGACGATGATACCCACTTTCCACTCTCGCGGCAGTTGTTCTGCAGACCATATCTTACACAGCAGCTCATATAGTATGCACTGGGTGGCGACTCCCCCGTACTTCCATATTTCGGCATGTAAACTGTCTATGCCAGGAGCTTTGTCGTTTTTCAGCCTCATTATCGCCTTTTTGACTTCTTCAAACGATAACGGCGCTACATCTGTATGTGTGTTTGCCTCATCGTTTAAATGCTGGCCCTCACGGCGTATGGGGAGCGTCCTCCGGGTGGCGGATGGGGGAGTGGTCGGTAGTACAGCATAGCTACGCTACCCGGCTAAGCCCGATGGGCTCGCTGACCAAAGTAGGGTGTGGTCCTCCAGCAATATGGGGGTTGTGCGGCGGGTTGACAACTCGCCCACGGAAAAAAAACAATTGTTACGAAACCGACAAAGCAATGAAGTTCATTAAATAATATCCTAATGATGATCAGTCAGCCTTTACGCTGTAGATACTTAAGAAAGAAAAAAGAAAAAGATGTTTGAGTTACCCTTTTCCTTGCTGTTTTTTTATTCCTCTATGTCAATAGTATTTTTGAAATTAATGCGCAAGAGAAAAATCATGAAAATGTAATTTTAAAAGTACTGCAATAACTATTTATTTACTGTGACAAATGTAATTTGTAACTTTATAAAAACTACACTACATCCAAATTTGAAATGCAATTAAGAAGTAAGATTGCAATAGATAAGTTCCCGGTGTAGGGACGGCGAAGCATAATGCGTGTTATAATCCGTGAAGCGGCGGAGTGCATTTGTCACCTGCCAGTCAGTCAGTCGCTCTGACTGCACCTTGTTATTTGTAACGGTGTGATACGGTGAAGGATTACGGATCCCGACACGACACCACAATGTCATATACGCCCACGCATTTCAGAGATCTCATACTTACGGAGATGCGACTATATTTAGACCCTAATTGACATGATAAGTTCTGTTTTCTCAGTAAAAATGATATAGGCGAAAAATATAAAATTTAGGTTGCTCTATGTTAAAGAAACAAAGACAAGCTAAAAATAATGCTACAAACAAGCTATATTATAAGTTATATAATTGTAATTCCAGCTGTAACTCAGCGTGTCTCCCCGGCAACAGAGGGCGCTGGCTCGCCGCTGGGCCTGCTCAGCCGCTGCATGGCCTCACTGGCGCAGATGCACCGCACGGGACCCCACAAAAAGAACAGGAAGTCTCGGAACCCGCTTAACGGAAACCCATTTGCTAAGGTACGTCACCATGGCAACGGATAAATATAACTCTAATTTGCTACGACTCCCCAAGTGACCAGCGACTCTCTCTCTCTAATTTTCTTCAATTCTTTTTCTTACAGGGTGTAGTACTAAAGACATTGATTAGGAAGCCGAAGAAGCCGAACTCCGCGAACCGCAAGTGCGTTCTGACGCGGCTGTCCAATGGCAAGGAGATGATCGCCTACGTGCCCGGCATCGGACACAACCTGCAGGAGCACAACATCGTACTTGTGCGCGTCGGCAGGTAACCTACCATCTGCTCTGCTCACTGCCCACTGCACACCGCTCATTGCTCACTGCCCACTGCACACTGTTCATTGTTCACTGCCCACTGCCCACAGATTCATCTGTAAATGCGACACTGTTAGAAATCTGTTAGATCTAGCTGGAATTTTCTGTTATATTTTCGTAATTTACATTGCTTAAAAGTTGAATGCAGGTTTTATACTCATTTATATCGTTGTATCTAAAGATTAACTTCCACTTCGCCATTAAAAAAAACACGCAATGAATGTATATTAATAAGTAGGTAATATTATTTCAGAGTGAAGGACTGTCCCGGCGTGAAGCTGAAGTGTGTGCGCGGGAAATTCGACCTGTCGCATGTCGTCAAACAAAAACAGTAGTGTGAGTGACTATATGTAATTATGTTTAGTTATGCTGCAGTTATTATATCACTTTAGTGTAAGGAAAATATTTGTTTTATTTATATTGTCTGCATTATTCAATTACATCCTTCAATAAATATCTATTAAAGGTATTCTATTATTAGACAATAAATACGTTCTCTGTTTTGTAATGTATTTATAACACATTTTAAAATTAAAATAAACCTCTTTCTCTCTTAAAAACATCGTAATTGTGCTCAATATTTTACAATGGCGTCGCGCGCTGTCATTGGCGGGGGGGGGGGGGGGGNNTGTGTCGCATGCGCAGGCCGCGCCCTCACCGCTCTCTGCCGCCCCCGCCCCACCTCGCCCGACCCCCAGCATTGTGCAACACAAAACACACAGTAAACACCATATACCACAACAATGCCCTTCCAACACTAACACAGCTCCTGCACAAATAAATTACTGTAAAATATGGCGCGAGAAATGTTTTGGAATCTTTTTCGAGTATCTATTGTTCAGTTTCTCATTTCGGTAAATCAGTTTATTTTACAATATTATTTTTAGATATTTAATAAAACCAGAGAATTTAAGATTCGCTTTCGAATTAGCCACAAATGAGTATCTACTTCGGCATTTTGAGCCAACAAATGCATTAACTATTTGTTTATTGCCTTTGGTAATTACTGAACAACAGTTAACGTCTAATCCGATTATAACAAACATTTTATTCAATAATACTTAAAACAACACAACGTTTCCCGCGCAAAGCTTAACTTTAATAGGGTATAGAAGTTTTATTATAATTCCGTTCAAGATTTTAGGTATAAATAAAAATTAATCGTTTTAGTTTTATAATTTTATTATTGTTGTAATATAAATTAAGATATCTCTGCCTTATTCTAACTTACAACTAACATAAATTGCACTTAACGTCCTAAATAATATTTACAAATAAATATTGCACCTACATAAAAACACCAACTTAACTCTAAAATAAATTAAATCGATATTATCTGCCGAGTGAAATTATTTACAGCTCTTACTAGCGCCAAAAAGTCTCAGAATGTGGGCGGTACTGCAGAAGAGTCAGTAAGGGTAGGGCTGACGACAGCGCACACAAGAGTTGGAGGCGAGCTGGCCCCTGAGCTTGGCGAGCTCGTTCCGGAGGAAGGTGACCTTGAGTGCGAGATGAATCTCCCTCAGCTTGCGACGGTCGCGGCTCTGCTTGGCGGCGTGGTTGTTGCGCTCGCGCTGACGCCTGTAGGAGTCGTCCGCCGCCGCGCTACCCTGCACTGCGCGCCGCATGCGCGGGTTGTTCCCCAGCAGACTGCCACCGTTCTTCTCCGCCATCGCCCGCAGCGTGTCCTTCTCGAACTCCTGGAAGTCCGGGTCGTCCGACAGCGAGTCCGCGTCCATGTAGCTCGACCTCTTCCCGCCTGCCCGTGTTGCGTGCCGAGAGGTCGGCGATGCCGGTGGCGAGATCATGCCCGTGCGCGGACTGACCGGTGTCGCGTACGAGCACATGCTGTCACCCGATAAAGGTGAAGAACGCGGGGCCGGCACGTACGTATCCGCAGGATATCCATAGTATGGATGCGGCTCCGTGACCGGGTAGGGATATCCATACACTACATTGTTTGGATAGTAGTCCGATGTCAGTGTTGGGTTCTTGCACTTGGTTGACAAGTCCAGGGCGGCGTCTTCGGCGTACGGGGTCCACAGAGCCATTTTTGTTATGTCCGAACTGTTCGAGGGATCGATCGCAATTGACTACCCCGTCGATTGCTCAAGCGCCCTTCTCGGCGTCGGGGGCGGGGCCTAGCCGAAGGGGACTTACCCCCACCCGACTCCCCCGCAAGGACCTCGCTACCTGATCCATTAACGGGTCTCCGTTATAACAAAACAATAGTTTATTGCGATATTTAATCCTTGCGTAGTTTTGGGGATTATATTATATTGTGTTATGTTTTAATTCTTCGGCTTACGACAATTTTTTTCTCAGCGATGCAGTTTCCAGAAATTTCTTGTTTTTAACAATTTAGTACTGATGAGATATTTATGAATATTTACTTACCGTAGATAAATAAAGAATCTGTAATCATGCTACTTGAGAGTAAATAATGCAATATCTTTGCCAACTGTTTAATGCAGTGTATTCAAATACGTTTTGTAAACCGAATGTTAAATACCTTTTGCTAATCAAATTATCAGCACTAAAATATTTTAATAAAGAGGTCCTCGTGTAGTACCTTGAGGAACTTATGTTTAATGTTCAGTATACCTAGATTTTAATTATCATCTTTTTGTTTAAGGACAAAAGTTATGTTTTTAGTATTTAGTTTCAATAAGATCTTAGGCTGAGAATATACACAAAATTCACCAAGTTATTTTTTTTTGTGATTACCTTTGTCAAACTTTAGCGAAAAATCTTTTATATTTTACGATTTAAATTAGCTGCAATATTTTGACATTAAGGGACGGTTAATATGAGTTTTGGAATCTAATGACGTAGATTAGTAACTAGACTGAGGATCCTATCTTCCTTGATATTGTTTTTAATTGATGAAGTTGTACCTATTAGTTTAATTTAATGTTTAAATTAACTTCGATAGCGTTGTAAAAACAACAAAAACAGTTCGCTGTTTGTAATGTATGACATAATTACGTACAATATATAAAATTAAGTTTTGTAACGTAAACAAATTAGGTTCAGATAAATGCGGCAAGAGAATAACAAAATGATTAGTTATCATTAAGATCATCATTAGACGCAGTTTGCTTGTTTACTTCATATGGATCAGTTTTAGTGATTCAAAGAATTTTTTATAGCTTTTATATAATATCATTATCGATGATTACTATATATTTTTATTGTAAATAAAACTGTACACTACATTGCAGCCCTCGAACACTGCATTTTATTTTTTACCATCAATTCATTTAATTCAGATTCTTCAAACAAAATGAAAACTAGACCAGATGTCCGCTTCCAAAATTATAATTATTTACGCAAGGAATATAACAAAGAGATAATCTGTTTTAAAATTGCATCCTCCGTGACTCCGAGAGATCATGAAACTGACAGCTTCACAATAATCTACGGGAGAGTTTTGATAAAACTCATTTGACCGTGTCATTGGCAACTGTCGCTGATATTTTGCACATTCGTGGTAATATTATGTTTTTAATCGATTCATGTATATTTTATTATAATAATTATTTACGTACTTCGACCAAGTAATCAAAATAATTTAAGAATCGAATATTACTTTCAGTGTGTTCTTTTATGTTTTTAAGAACAAAACAATGTTATAATCTGTAAGTCGCGTGCCGGCTACCTGGCCTGTTATAATCTGCATCATAAAGTGACGTTTGCGCAGCGGCCGCGGCTATTGCCCGCCATAAATGCACCCGCATTTCACTCAGATGGTAAGCTACTTTATTTTAGTGAATTATCAAGAAATCTAGGTTTAATCCTCATTAACTAAAGTTACAAATCTTGTTTCTAAAAGTTACAACATCATTTAAGTTATCATTAAAATGGAGAGAAAACAATAACAATCATATTTCAGTAGTAATAGCATTTGCAATCCATTAAATCCTCCTACAAGCTTGGAGCGTAATTTTAGTTTTTTTTTTTATTAGCACGCTGAATAAGAGCGACGAGGAAATCTATCCTTGTGGTTTGCTTTACGGGAAGCCTGTATAATAAACACAGTCAGTCAGTTTGAAATGCATGTATAAATAATATGATTGTTTAATACTAATAAAGCTATTCAATAGTAAAATGGCGGCCAACTGTTCAGCATTACCTGTTTAATCCTGGCTACGTAATTAGGACATAATCCTGGCGATCTCGGCAATAAACACTAAAGTCCTGTTCAAAGATAACTTTATTGCTTCCGCCTGACGTAAGCTTGCTGTAAAGCCTGCATTTTCAGAGAAATAGTATTTACATAAAATAAATAATATTAATAATTATTTTTGTTACTAATCTAGATAAAAATAAAAATTACATTTATACCTACACGATTTTTGTATCAATCTATGGTTGAAAGCCACTCAAATTATAATCGTAGAACTTGAATTGGCATCAGAATTATTTTTAAAACGTCTTAATTCCTTAACAGATCCAAGTTAATTTACATAATACTTAAAATATACAAATCATAGCTAAATGCTGTGAGCTTTCAATATGGTTTGCGAAAGAAGTCGTGCAAACTGTAATACAAGCTCCCTGCATGTCTCCAGGGATTAAGATAAAAGCAGTTGCTCTGTTTGTTCGTTTGCAAAAACTCACGAACACCCACAGTCAAGTAACGGTAATATAACAATATACATCGCCTTATTGTTTTATACGAAAGTGTTGGACGACATCCAAGTTCTTAAAACTTTAAATCGTTTTAGCAAATATTTGCTTTAGCTATCATCCGCGAGGGATCTGCATTTCCCAGGGTTTTTTCAAGATCAATGCCTCACATGTGCAAGTCTAAAGGATTATTGGACTGTTTAAATAAATACGAAGTTAATAATAAGTTACAGTTAAATAAGGTGATAAAGATTTTTATTAAAAACAAGTTAACTCGAATCAGAGAATCTTTTCTTTTCGGCTTTACCTATTTAAAAATTACAGGTATTACAACTAATATATAATCCATCCTTCAAATGTCGACCATAAATCAGATTCTTGCTTCTCAACATACTTTATTGCTACCCTGATAAGACTATTATTCTGATTAAAATATTAATTTCAATATTTAAATTGTAAAAACAAGCAGCTTTTAAAATATAAATTAATACACACCTACTATATATATTTTATACAAATTTATATTATAAACCTTTGCTAGCTTTTGTGTAGGGGTAGTAAATAGAGGGTTCACAATTACACAAGCCCGGGTTAGGGCTGCACCCTACGCCGCGACGCGCCCCGCGTTGCATCGCGTTGGGTAAGGACTTTTGATTGGGTTGTATTTATCGATCCATTGAAGGCAACGCCTCTAGTGATGTGATTCATCTCTGTGATTATGTGATCTAAGCGACGAAATAAAAACATATTAAGGAAAAATAACTGATGGAGAGAGTTGTTTTTTACCTCGAGTTTTCACTTATATTATAAGATACGGTTACTTTTTTAATTAGAAGGATGTCCATATTGTATTTTAATGTTACGGTAAAGTTAAATGTAGGTTCCTATAAAGTGCATTTCATTTTAAAAGTGAAAAATCTTGTTCTTTTACTGGGATGATAAAATATTTAATAAAATGGTCACATCTCTTGCACACGGGAACATCCCTTTTGTGATAATCATACAGGGCGGTGCATGTTAGTACTGAAAGGGCGCTACCCCTATGTACTCAGACAATCCTTTCGCAACCCTCTAGCTATTAATATTCACGTCTCGCGATGTTCATCTTTACTTCTGGTCTTTATAAACCTAAACTACAAATATTATGCCCAGTACACATAAAACTAAAGACAAAATATTCTAACGTTCCCCAAAAATGGCTACAATTTTATTTATCGTCATAACATTACAATGCACGTAAGTAAACGATTAAATTATAAACTTTAATTTAAATTATAAGGTTCAAGATTTTGGAATACAAATTCCTTCACAGTTACACTTTCTTAAGGTTATTAGACAATCAGAGCCTGGAAATTGGGTCTAAAGCTTGATTAGAAATTAGGATAGTTACAAAAACACACAATCTCAAGCTTGCATATTAAGAACGCGTGCCTTTTATTATATGTAGATGAAAACATCTGGTGAACAAGTTTATCTCCCGATCTTTCTCCCTAGTCCTGTGCAAGCGCACGCGACTGCCCGGCTGAAACTATATATTTATATAGATAATCCTTTATCGTAAAGTGTCAGTTTTTCGTATGATCTGAAGATAGTTGTCAGTGACGCTCGTCATATCTATGTATTATATGTTAAACGATCTCTCAGATAATAAACTGAAGTAGTAAATAATTTTCAATTTGAACACGGTCCTACTTAGTTTCTTACGAAGGCTTTTAGATGTATGTATCTGTAATGATATGAACCAAACGTAATCAGTGATATTCTATACATATATATATATCTATCAATTATGTATTTATCTTTCGTTCTGAAAATAAATCCTATGTATTAAAACATAATCCTCCAATTCTTAGTTAATTATGTATTATTTTGTTGTTGTTGCGGCGTGTAATCACTGTCATTAGAGAGACAACAGAGTTGCGAAACTGTTAATTGATCTGTTTATTTACATATCTTTTGATTTATTTATGTACTTATCATCCTAAATAAATACGATATCTTAAAATAACTGTTGCAGCATTATATTTTTCTTTTAGTGTCGCACTGTATATGTTACAAATATTACTTTGATATAAGCTTCCATTATCCATTTCGTGCTGGATGTCAACATAACTAAATGTAAATTTACCTTCTTTTTTAGCAATGCTCGGGGATTTTTAAATAAAATATCAGTCGTTTTTGTGTTAAAAGAATACGTAATATATTTCTATTAAATACTTTATATAATCTTTTATTTACAATGTTAGGAACTTTTCCGTGCATTTTATCAATTATATTTACAACAATAAATCAAAATTAACGTAAAAATATTTTCAAACATGTTGAAAATCATACATACAGTATACAAAGCACATTGCACACAACAGTCATTACTCTCAAGGTGTTTTAAGTTATATACACAGGCACTGGTGGCAGCCCTAACACGTGCACCGCTGCCGGCAGCTCGCGCAGACTCGCTCATCGAGGCGCATTCGCAGATCCGCTAGCTTCTTCTTGAGGAAGGTGACCTGGAAGGCAAGGCGCACCTCCCTCAGCTTGCGACGGTCGCGGCTCTGCTTGGCGGCGTGGTTGTTGCGCTCGCGCTGGCGCCTGTAGGAGTCGTCCGCCGCGGCGCTGCCCTGCACTGCGCGCCGCATGCGCGGGTTGTTACCCAGCAGACTGCCGCCGTTCTTCTCCGCCATCGCCCGCAGCGCGTCTCTCTCGAACGCCTGGTACTCCACGTCGTCGGAGAGAGACTCCGCCTCGTAGGCGTCGAAGGATTCTGAAGGCGATGATGACTTGCGACAGGAGTTGGGCGACCAGGCATCGTGCACCGACTCCGGCGATATCTGCGCTGTGGGCACGCAGGGCGGCTCGTGGTAGCTCACGTAATACTGTGGTATCGGCAGCCTGTCGTGCGGGGATATCGCCTGCCGAGGAAAATAACCGGGTACGGTGCCGAATCCCATGGGTTCAGGTTCGGGAGAGGCTCGCTCCTTCTTCACGGTCGCTCGGCTGAGATCGAGGGCATGTTCCGCGTACGGTGTCCACAGCGCCATGGTGCCTGGGCAGAGGTTCGTCTGTGTCGTCAACTATGTGATGAGTGCGCGCAAGGCTGTGCCGGCGCCGGGGGTTGCGGTGGGCGGGGCCTGCGCGCCGGGGAGGGGATAAATGAAGGGTTGCGGACCGCTACCTGTGGTGCAGCTTAACGGGACACTCAGCTTCCCGGAAAATATTTGCGTCGCCCTCCCCCTCATAAATAGTGCAAGATGTTTTTGTACCGTTCGAGAAAAAAAAGTGCAAGGCATTGTGAATTCATAATTTTATCACATTTTTCAGATATTGCAAATTAATTAGCTGATTTTCTTTAAGAATTTTAATTTAACCATAATTCATCATCCTACATTCTGTTCCCAGAGAAAGAACGATGGAGCCAATGTTTGATGATTTTTCAATATTTGTTTTTCACATAAAAATTTCCCCATAGTATAAGTATATTGGTGCACAGAAGTAATGTAAAAATTGCTTGTAGCTGAAATTCGTATGCTACGATGGATGTGTGGTGTGACAAGGAAGGATAAAGTTAAAAATGTGTATATTAGAGGAAGTTTTAAAGTTGCGCCAGTGATCGAGAAATTGAGGAGTAAAAGATTAGCGTGGTTTGGACATGTTATGAGAAGGAATGATGATGATATAAGCAAAAAAGTAATGAGATTGAATGTGGATGGCTACAAAGGTAGAGGAAGACCAAAAAAGTATGGAATGACTGTGTGAAAGAGGATATGCGTAAGAAGGGGGTAGACTCGGATATGACGGCTGATAGAGATGTATGGAGGAGTAGTACATGCTGTGCCGACCCTCGATAGGGATAAGGGCAGGTTGATGATGAAGTAATGTAAAAATAATCCATTTCCTTTACATCACCAAGGATCCAAGTGAGCGACCAGTCGCGGTGCAACTAAATACAGAGACAAAAAGTGAACCACAGTTGATATTAAATACCGTTTAATCTTTCCTAATCGTGTTATTGTATCGCACACGAAGCAATTATAATAGTTAGAGTATTTGTCTTAAGTAACAAACTTCAAACGTCTTTGTTTTTGGGTACAGAATATAGTTTTTGCCCTTTCTATGATTTAAATATTGCTAATTTCTAAGTAGATTAACTTTTTGCGCCTTTTTCTTTTTTGAGAGTTTTCGAATAATTCAAAAGAAGACAGTTAGGTATATATAGTAACTAAGCTTATCTTTGACTAACCGTGGATTTCCGACACCAAAATCCCCGTTTAAAATATAATGGTTTCTCTGTTCTGTCAAAGATAATGACAGGATGATGTGTTTTATACAGGTTGATCTCTGAAACCGACGCAAAGCGAAATCGGATTCTCGATCTAGCAATTAGTAAAAATATTGATAGCAAATTTGGCAATAAACTAAGAATAATGTAAGAAACTAAATTGTCTCTTTTAATTTTTTCTAGAACAAGTTAAATTCCCGTGTGAAATCACCGATAAAGAAATATCTGAGGTATCGATGTCCATTGAGGCTCAATAGAGAGATTATGCTCTGTACAGACACGTCACAAAACACTCGATGTGTCTCCTCTATGGCCTTTCTGATGCACCCTTTAATATGACCGGACAATAAACCAGACCACCGTGCTAAATGAATTCATACAAGATGGCGGCCGCTGCCGGAAGCGAGGACACAATGCGCGGGATAAAGTCCCAGTGACAGTTGCTTCCTATGACGCTTCACTTGCGTTTGTCAAAAGTTTGGACATCTAATTATATTATCTATGGTCAGTTGCGTGTTTGGAAATCGTAGCACAAAAAATCATCGACAAAATGACATAATAATTTCAATCCTTTTCATTTTAAACTATGGTATTAATCTATAGCTTCATATGTCGAAAGAAATTACTACCTCGGGGATTGACATAATTCTTGTCATCGGACTCGGAATTACTGATTCTTGCATATGCGTAGAGAACGTAATCAAATCTATCTTGAATGCATGAAAAAGATGGTGGGCAGTAAAGTACGGCTTACTCACCTACAGTTGTAATCTTTGTTAGATCCATATTTTGATATTACTTTGTCAATAATTTTCAAATTCTTACTCAAATATTTAACAACAAATACTACAATACATTTTTCATCTTTAGAGTATTGTGTGGGAAGCGGTGATACACATTTCATCAGGAAACGCAAAAAAAACGTTTACAGTACTCCATTGAAATCATAAAATAGATATCAAATGCAAGTATTATTGCGGGACAGTTATATCCATCGATCTTGTACGTCCACAATACAAAACGGTCCCACCGCAGAGAGAAGGGTTGCAACAATGCATTGCAACGGCCGCGCCGCCCCGCGCCGTGCCGCGCCGCGCGTTGGCGGGAACGCATGACGCGACACGCCATGTTTGCGATACCGTTTGTCATTTATTTCTTTCAAAATACTGTTTGTTTATTTACTTTTTGTTTAAATAAAGGAAAATGTTAAATGGTAGAAGAATTTTATAGTGTCACATTTCTTTCATTAAAGAGACATAAGCGCAAAAATTTTATCAGAAAAATTTTTTTTTTCGTTCTCTGCAATATTTTAGTCAAAAACCCCGTTCCATTTTTGTCAAAAGAACCTTTAAATGTGACAATTACTTCTAAAATAGCTCAAAACATAATTGTCTAAAAATTGTAGCCGTGAAAATTAAAGCTCTTGCAAATTATACAATTTGCATAGAGCATTGTATTCGTCCGGTTGTAAATTGTCTGACAAAGGGTTGGGCCGTTTGCATAGACAATGCCTGAACGATTTTGTTATAATTAAATAGCACTTTCTCCTGCCACAATGCCTTTTATTTCGGACACTTTTGCAAAGAAATCATTGTGAGTTTTCGCACACGCGCCATTTTGTACTGAGTTCTCTTATATGGACCATACCGGTGTACGTATTACTTTTGCGTTGTTTTCTTTATGACCCCTTTTTCCCCGCGTCACGCGTCACATCTGCCACGCTGAGTGTTGCCAGCGCCACCTCGCGGGACACGTGACAATGTTATTGCAGCAGAAGTTCTCATGAAATATTGTTTATACAATAAATATTCATCAGATAACATATTATTTATTAAATAAAACGTACAATAAGAAGTAACCTGACCATCTCTTTATTGTAGAATTCAATAGAATCTTTCTACTAACTTCTAACAACTTGAGAACTTAGAAATGAATTTATTAATCACAAAATCTTATTTCATGATAATATAAAAGTAAGTTGAACATTTGAAAAGGTTTATTACACATTAAGAAACCGCTATCTGTTCTTTGTGTTATTGAAAATCTAAGTAAATATATACTTACTTCTACCCTGTTATAAATCATGAACATATAACCTTCTATATATTATTTGTGTAACAAACAAGAGTCAATCTGTGATTGGTTGCGCAACCGAACTCATTCATACGAGTACTATGAGAAGGGCGGGAGTTGCGCAAACGCATCACACCTCACTTGCAGTCAGCCAATGAGAATCATTTGTTATGTAAAATTAACACAATGTTCACGAATAAATCAGGAAAGCATTGTAGCATTTTATTTAGGGCGCAATAAAACAATATCTTACAATTCAGTGTCGTAAAAACGTTGCAATTTTTCCTTTGAGACAAAGTCGTTTAGGAATACAAACAGCGGACATCATGAACTAAACGTTTCTGCTCAATCACATAAACTACTGGTTCTATCTCAGTTGTCAAGTTTCATGCGCCGATTCTTGTCACTATAATAACATTTTAATTACTATAAAACTCATGTTTAAGAAAGTAATACGTAAGTATGAAGGCAAGAAATAAATCTGAGACAACATGCTACGTTCTCCCATTAAAATAAAGGCACAATAAAAGCTGGCAAAATTTGATTTTTCCTATCTATATTTGCATTATCCATCTAGCCCGTATTGCGAGAAAAGGGGTTAAAATTAATCTCGGAATAAAGATAGATGTAAGATAAATATCTTCTATCTATTGATAGTACAAAACTCAACAATAAATCGGGATGGCTAGCGGAGGAGCTCGTGCACACGCACTGGACAATGGCCGAAGCTAAAGGATTAAAATCCTTCGCATAAATCCTTGACGCCTTCCAATGATGCTTTTGTCATAATTCTTAACATTTAATAAAGATATGCCTTTTGAATATTTATCCTCGCTATAAATAGCTTAGTGAAGGTACAGCGCAGACCAGTTATGTGAATAACAATATTTTTCTTTCACATTCAATAAATTTCTAGCAACTGCAGCCTTTCATTTCATATTTCGGTCTCATGTTGATTAAAGATAGTCTAGTCTAGTCAGGCGCGTTATGACAGAGAATAAGTTTACTTTTAACTCATTCCAATAGAACTTAAATCATGAATTTGGTAAATTTTTATACTAAATCACATTTTAAAGATCTAACATGTTTTCTATTTTATTTTAACAACGGCCCCAATGTACTAGAATAATTGGCCAGTATTCTGATATATTGCTATTAAAATTCCGCATTTCTACAAATATCTATAAGTTTTAAAATACGTAGGAACTGTACTACATCCACTTTAGCAGATTCATAATTCGGTGTGGTCTCAAGTTAAAAGTCCCGCCGACGATTGCGTCGTTACATAAAAAAATTGTCTCTAAAGCCATTTGTAATTGTAAAGTAAGGGATTCGACATTGACGCAACGCACGCTCGATCGAACACAAAATAAAAAAGTACCGCCAAAGCACAGCGGCGGATTATCTGTCTCCTGCATAATCTGTGGCATTGTCTGAAGGGCCACCAGAGTACAACGTGACAGGCGCCGGAGGGCAACTGTGCAAGAAAAATAATTAAATATTTTTGCAACCAGTCACGTAACCTTCTGATTTAGAAATTTAATACAGTTTGTATGACGTAGGTTACCTGAAAGTTTTCCAGGATAATAACCTTAAAATACTAATAACTCGTTGAAACTACCGTAAAATGTTACATCCATCTAATTCTCTTTGGGAAAATAGAAATAACAGCCTTTTTTCAGATTTAAAACATTATTTAAATTCATCATTTTCTTTATGGGTTGATAACCGTCGCCCGCGACTCCGTTCGCGCGGAATTAAAAAGATATCTTAATAAGTAGCCTATGTGTTCTTCCAGACTATGTTCTACATCAGTGTAAAATTTCACCACGATCCATTGAACTGTTCAGCAGATACAAAAATCCATCCAGACATTCGCATTTATAATGTTGGTAATTTCCGTTATATTTTTAATTGAAGAACTACTACCGCCATCTCCTGTTAGGTAGACGAAACACATTTTTACAATTTACAATGTTTTGACTATCGTACGATAGGTGGCGCTTATCTGTTTATTTTTATAAATTTATTTTAATTCTAGATGATGAGCGTAAAATTTTATTATATTCATTTAAAATTAATATTACTTTTCACTATTTTTTTATTATATTTCATTATTTAATAATTATTGGACTTTTGAATTGTAATTTTTATCTGTAATCGGCCATTTTGGATTTTGATAATTTGACTGCTCTTCGAAATAAAAATAATTGTTATGTTTTTATTCTACCTGCAATCTTCAAATCAAAATTAATAGGCGAACACGTCATTCGTACCGGCCTTCCGCCGCAGCCGCCGACGCCCGTAGTGTTGTTGCCACAAAAACTGGTCAAGTTACCGTCTCCCGATCAGCTGTCACGTACCTTTGACGTGTTGAATACAAACAGATCTCATTTCGTCGATCTGATATGCCGTTGCCGCGATGAACGGCACGTTTTCCGAGCAGCTGGGGGGTGTGGCTGGAGTTTTCGAGCAATGGGGCACGTGCGAGAGAACCGTGGTTGCGTGTGCTCTGGCGCGGCGCGTGCCCTGGCCGGGCCTCAAGCTCGTACAGCGCGCCGTGGAGGCCGCACTGCAGCAGCATGTGGAGGACGACCGCCTGGAGCGAGATGCCAACGACGAGACCCTACTGGCAAACTTGTTGGCGCCCAGGAATGACGATGATGAAGATGAGGGTAAGATAAAATCAAACATTCAATCGTAATTGCCATGAATAAATAGAGTCAACTTCCATTAAGCTTTGTGACAATTAGTTTTGTGGTATTAGATTGTTGCAAACTTTAGTATGTATTCTAATATAATACATTAAAATGATGATGTGCACTTTTATTTATTACAATAAAATTGTATGACGAGTAATCCTGCATTTTTATACCATGGTGAGTGTTATTTCACCAAATGAATTCACATACTAACAATGAAAAGCCAATAAATTGACATCAAATGTATTTATTTTACTTTTAGTTTATATGAAGGATGCAATGTATTTTGTGCAATATAAATAACACTCATAAGTTGTTGTTATGATATTTCGGTCCCCCTTTCCTTTAATTAAAAAAAATCTTAAATAATTGTAAGTAAAGCTCAGCTCATTGATGTTACTGTAACCTAGACCTGATGTTAATAGTATACAACAGTACAAACTTGACCTCTAAGATAAACTGAGGGTCACCTCGCACATTGCACTTAACTAGGATGTTACAATGTAAGTCATCTCTAAAACTGTTACACACTATTCATTGTGATGTACTTCAAAGTACTAGTTATGTCTTTATTTATTAGAAAGTAGCATTTGCCTGTGCGGAATTTAAAAAAAACTTAGTAGCCTATGTGATCTTCCAGACTATGTTCTGTATGTATGCCAAATGTCATTGTGATCCGTTCTGCCGTTCAGGAGATACCTTCAACAACAAACATCCATCCATCAAAACATTAAGATTTATAATATTATTAAGATAGCAATGGGAATGAAATATTCAATCTGTTACTAGTCAAAAAAATGAATGGAAAATAGCAAGTTTCTTTCCAGAGTTCTGTAATTTTGACTTAGTCATCTTGTATAACATTCCTTCTCATCTCTTTGCTCCAACCTGCACAATAATGGCCAGCAACACGGTGATAATTGTGAATGATTAGAAACTGAGTTTATTGCAATCCATGTGTTTGCATTTGCATTGCAGGTGCGGAGAGATTGCGGCAGCTGCTGAGCCTGCTGCCACTGCTGCGCAGCGACAACGAGCGCGGCAAGGCGGTGTACGTGGGTGCGGTGCCCGGCCTCGTGCAGCGCTGCGTGGACGCGCCGCGCCCCGCCCCGCACCCCGCCCCGCACGCCGCGCCCGACCTCTGCCGCCAGCTCATCTCCTACCTCCTCGTGCATCCCGCGCTCACGCAGCTCGAGCAGAGGTCGGATACATTCTCCTTCTCTACTTCATTCCTCTTATTTAGAGATTCTTGAACTGTCCATAGTCACATTTGTGACAACGTCACGTAGCTCACTACAAGCTATACAAAGAGAAAACAAATGAATTAAAAATAACTTGAAAACGTTTCAGAACACTGACCCAGTGGCTACGCTACTTAGAAAATCACATATCGGGCAACAGAAACACGGAGTCCATCTGGCAGCAGCGGATAGACCCGTGCCTGTTGCCCGACACCAACATCTGGGGCGGCAACAACGGCTTCAGAAGAACCATAGGCAAAAACGTCGAGTTCCGAGGCATCCTCGACTCGGCGGAGCAGTCGTACACGGATCTCCTGCAGGAGTCCTTCTCCAAGAACGGGCGAGACGTGGACATCAGCCTAGACGGCGAGATGGCCAACTTCGAGGTGGCGATAGGACAGCCCAAGTCGCAGCGCTCCAACAGCCTCACGCCGCCGTCGACCAACTTCATGCAGATGTCCTCCTCGGCGGAGAACCTGAGCGACGAGCCGTTCGTGCAGAAGCCGCGGAGCTTCTCGCTGTCGAGCGAGCACAGCCTCAGCCAGCTGCGGCCCATCGCCGGCCTCTTCGCCACCACCGGCAGCGAGACGCGACTCGACGACCTGCGCTGCAACAACTTCTCCGAGCACCCCGGCATGTCCACCGTCGCCGCCTGGCTCAAGTCCCTGCGCCTGCACAAGTACATCTGGCTCTTCACCAACGTCACCTACGACCAGATGATGGCCATGGACGAGAAGTACCTCGAGAAGCTCGGTACGTTTCCTTTCACCGGAACTCCTTCCGTTCCGGATAAATGTAACCGATATGAATGTGATCAGGTGTGACGAAGGGCGCGCGGCACAAGATTCTGGTGTCCATCAAGAAGCTGTCGGAGCGCGGCGCGGTGCTGGAGGCGGTGCGGGCCGAGCTGGCGGCGGGCGCGGCGGGGGCGGTGCCGCGCGCGCTCGACCGCCTGCGCGCGCTGCTGCTCAGCCCCATGCCGCCGGACTCCGACCTGCCCCCGGCCATCGTCGCCGCCCTGGACCTCGGTAACAGCCTCCTGCTAACTCCTAGGGTTCCCCTTACAATTTTCATAGCACAACCCGATACATTAAATCTATATTACGATGAACTTGCAGCGTCCAAGAGTCTGAGCGGGTGCACCGGGCCCGCGCTGGAGCCCGAGCCCGACCACGTCGACCCCATGTCGCTGCATTGCTGGCTCGTCGAGAAGGTACCTCGCACCGCAAAAATAATATTTATCGTAATATGACGGCCACGACTCGCGCACTCCCTCCTAGTAGACAATTATGCCTTTCGCGGAGTTACGTCGCTTTTAAATTGTTTGAGTTTCGAAGTCGACATTATGATGATGGAACCGTGCCCCCCAGGCGCTGCACCACGAGGCGTTCCGGCGCGGCGAGCTGCAGGAAGCGCTGCGCCGGCTGCGGCACCGTCTGCCGCCCACACAGTTCTTCCACCACGTCGGCGAGCTGCCGCTCCTCGCGCACAGGCACAAGCCCAGGTACACCTCCACACCACCACATCACCTGATACTTGTCAGACCAAACATTACTTGTAAGACAAAACTCTTTATGTAATTGTTTTCACCAGATGGCGGTCGAGCGCGGCGTGCCCCCGCCCGGGGGGCCGGCGCTTCGTGCCCCCGCCCCCGCGCGGCAAGTCGCACTCCTACCCGCCCTTCCCCG